CAAGCTTATGGGCTTTAAAGCTTGTTTTTGTTGTTGGCTTAGACCAACAATGGCCTCGAGCCGGCCAGCTTCAAATAATGCCAGTTTTTAGCTACGCCTGGCAAAAGAAGCCGTAAATTAATCGTATAAACATTTTAATAAAAAGTTATCTTAAGAAAAATATAATTTTCAAAAATAAAATAAATAAAAGAAATAGTTTTTTTTACAACCTTTTTCTTTCTTTCTCATCACCATCTTTCTTTTTTCCTATTTATTGTATTTTCTTAGAATACAGAAAATTAAGATAACTTTTATTTCTTACATCAAAACACTATTATCTCTACTAACACCTAACTTTCCGGCTGTAGGCTCTAAAAACGTCATTGACTAACTTAGTATAGCTGTGAAAAATGGTGTATTCTAATTAAGGCTTTTAGCATTTCATTTTCATAATCTAATGTACGTTCTTGACGAACATTAATAAATAATAAATAAATAAATAAAAATAAATACAGATCTTGTATATTATATAATACCTCGAAATGTGTAACGCATAGAAGGAGACATCTCCGACGCGAGGCAGTTTGTATACCCTTGCAGAGGATATTATAATTTTGTCGTGAAATGTGTAGCGCATAGAAGGAGTCATCTACGACCCCATAAAATATATATTTTCTTGATCAGTATAATCAACCGAGTCGATATAGCCATGTCCGTCTGTTTCTATGCGAATTAGTCTCTCAGGCAGAAGTGCCTCTTTCTGTTGCACGCAGTACATGCATATCATATCATATAGCTGCTATAGGAACGATCTGTCGAAAATGAGGTTCTTGTGTGAAAAACTCAAGAAATCTTAACCAGACTCGGCATTCACTATTTTATCTATGCTTTTTAGATACGGCTAAAGCTTTATGAGCATTATAAAAAGGTTGGGTCTCCCCAAGGGTGATAAATCTTCGGCGTGCCGAAGATAGTCTTTCCTCATGTCGTTTTTTTATTAATATTTTTATTTATGATAGTCTGACAATAAAAATTATCAAGAAGGCAAAATAAAAACAAGTAGGAGGCACTAGTCGGGAGTATCCGATTAGGGGATACCCTGAACCCTCTGCTTCCAACGCAAAATGCAGCAAAAACAATACAATTGCAATGCTCTTGATAGAATTCAATGAAGATGTTGATGAATGTTTGTGTGTAGGCATATATAGAGAGCCTGCCCTTCAACCGGGTGACACATACTCCAACCTCAAAAGCATCGTGCATTGAAGCAGCGTCGTCCGAAATGACGATGTCTGCACTCGACTACGCAACAAGGAAAAAGTTATGGAGGAGGAGACTGACTGTCTGCCTTGTCTGTAGGTTAGAAAGAATTTGTGGTGTTTGCTGAACTACATGGGAGCACAGCGTATGCCTTCAGGCTAAGGATGTCCGGAGTATTCGCGATTCCCCGGACTCAAACCGTTTATTCGGTTCACGAACCGCACTTCGTACTGATTTACACTGCTTAGTGCACTTCTTCTAAGACTGCTTATCAAGCAATGTACTGCTTTAAAATACACTTTGTCACAAGCAGTTCTATTACCCTCAACCATAAGAGTCTACTTGTAGTTTAATGGTCCTGTTTACACAGGCTCCTCACAGTCGGACTCCAGCCCGTACCGACCTGCACTACTTGCCACCATCAAAACTCAGCTGTCCATTGTGTAATAAAGAGACGGACAGGGCTATTGGATCAAAAATGTCACATTTTTGAAAAATTTGTAATTTTGTGGCGTTTTGATTTTTTTTCGATGATTTATCGAATTTCGTATCGATATTATAAAAAAGTATCAATACTAAAAATAGCTTATATATCAACGAAGGCAAGCAGTTACTTTATATAATAAATTTTAATTTTAATAGTCCCACAGTTTTTAACATTTAAGGATGGCAAAATGTTGCCAGCTAGTTTTTTTTGTATAACAGGGAGTATAATAAAAAAAATAGAAAAATGCGAATTTCTCAAAAACTGGCTGGACGATTTTCTTGATGTAAAAAGCAAAATAATAGATAATTCGCGATCTATATCGGAAAATAGAATAATAAATGTTGAAATATTGCCACCTTTTCGTTTTTATACGTGTATAAATACTTAAATGCATAGTTGTCGTCTTTTGCAACTGTCTATTTTACCAAAGATAATGTTTTATTGTAAAATGAAAATTATTTCATATATATCTGCATTTCTCTTCCATATACAAGTATTTTGAATTAATTTGTTCCCGCTCAACACTGTATAACAAGTGCAAGGATGATTTTTTACGGTCATTTTGTATGGGGCTAGCAACGAGGTTGCTGCACTGTAGTACAAATATCTTAAAAAAGGGCTGATCGATTTTTATAATTTTTTCACGATTGGTTAGGTGAAACTATAGACTTCAATCGTGTATATGCGGTTTTCGGGGCCATTATCCCTGAATTAAGATATTTAAAGAATGGCGAAAACCTTACTTTTCAACCCCTTTGTTTACCCATATTATAAATTAAAATTCAAAAATAAATGAATGTAGATAGTAAATAATTTAATATTTTGCAATTCTGCATTTAAATTTATTTAGTTTCGTGCTTAAAAACATAAATAAATGCATTTGAAAGTGACCGATAGTTTTCCGATAACAAGTACCAAAATTCGACGCTAAGTCACCGCCGCTAATTTGACGCACATCGTTTCGACCTTATTGAAAGCTGAAAAGTTATCGCTATCGACATTTCAAAGCTGCTTGTCATCTCCCTCATTCCGTCAAGCTTATTTCATTCATTCATTTATTTGCCGTCCCAATCGCACTTCCAGAAACGATTAATACCAACAACGATAACAGATGCTATCGATATCAAACAGTTGAAAAAACAGTGTGGCCCTCTCTCTTTTTTGTTTTTATTTTCACTCGTGAGAACTTTGTGAATTGAACATTAAATTAAATTGGGCCTCGCCGACTACTGGACTTGACGCCGGCGCGCCGAGAGCAGCTCCCAGATGAACACGAGCGTGGCGAGGGCGTAGAGCACGCCCACAATTATATAGATACCCCAAAGATCGGGCTGGCGCAGCCGATTGTCTCGATACATGAATGTGCTGCGAAAATAGCGCTCGCTGCCCAGCTGGCCGGCCCAGTAGTTGATCAGGCCGACCGCCTGAATAGACATGATAAGCTCATCGAGCCGCTGCACCAGATGCGAATGCTTCTGCAGATAGATGGCCAGCTGCTGCTCGAGCACATGCTGCGGCAGCATATAGTAGGCGCCCGGCTTGTGGGCACGCTGTGCCGCATGCAGTAGGGTCTGGCGCGAGAGTATGCCAAAGAGGCGCCGCTGCGTTGTCCGCGACTCGACCTGGTCCAGGACATCGTGCTCCACATCGCTCGCAAGGACAATTGCACGCATATTGCTCAATAGCACCTGGAGGCTGCTCACCTCGCCCACATCCTGGGCGGTAATGCGATTCATCACAGCCGTATAGCTGCCCTCCATCAGCTCGAACAGATTGCGGGGCAAACGCTGATGCACCTGCTGGCGCAGCATATGGTAGAACAGAGCCGAGTACATGGCGCGCACGAGCAGCGTGAAGCCCAGCCAATTGATGTAGACCAGCTGCTGGGCGGGACGAAGGCCGGACGCGACAATGGGCTGGCCCCAGGCAATCGCCAGCACGGCGAGCAGCATTGTCGCCCTGGCGACACGTCGGCGCGTGCACAACATGAGACAGCTGACGCCCAGGAAGCTGGTCAGCACGCCCAGCCAGGCGAGCGTCTGGAAGGGAAAGCCCAACAGCTCAAAGCTGGTCAAGTTGTGCGCATTCAGCGACAGGCAGCCGATTAGCCGGCTGGAATAGTGCGGAAAGACGGCTGTCAGATTGGCGGCATGCTGCACACGTTTGCGTATGTATCCAATGGCCAGGTGAGCGCGTCGCTGCTGCAGCTGCACAGCATTCCATTTGAATATTGTCAAAGTCTAATCGTAGTTCGCATATGTATAGCACTCACCAGCTGCAGCATTTGCGGCTCCGTCCAGGATCCGTTCTCCACCAGTTGCACGGCGAAATTCATGCGCCTGGCCAACTCCTGCAGCAGCCGATCCTCCAGTCCGGGCTCACTTTTGCTAACGCTGAGAAACGGCGACACGGCACGCAGCAGCACCTGCAGCGGGCAGCCATGCAGATTGTGCAGCTTAGCCGGAAAGTATACCGGCTGCTGCCAGGCGACGCCCATGAATCGATTGATCTGCTGGCCCAGCACCGTGTCGCAGTGTGTCGCCGCATACGGAAAATATGTGTGCATCAGCACGTCCCCGCCGCTACTCTGGGTCATCACATTGCAGTTGAGCAGCTGATGGCGCCAGCAATACTCGAACACGCCCTGCAGCTCCAGCGGCAGCAGTGCGTCCCGCTGCTGCAAAAATATGAAGTAATACTCGCTGCCATCGTGCCGACCCGTATACGTGTGGATCTCAATGTCCCTGCCAGAGAGAGAGAGAGAGAGAGAGAAGGAGAGAGTCAGAGAGTGGGTTAAATATCAGACTACGCGAGTTAGTCCCAAAACTCAGCTAGGCTGGGCCTGGCCTATGGATTTAACACTTATGACGCGTCACTGGACACGAGCGTAGAAAATGTATGTTTCCGGCTTAGCACTTTATTGTCGTCGCAGACGGGCACGTACAACAATGCTTGGAGCGAATCCACCAGCAGCAGATTGTGTAAACGTGGACCGGCAATGCGTTGCGGCTGTGTATAATTGTAATGGATCAGCTGGAGGATCATGTTGTCGACGCTCTCGTACAGCAGCTGCATTATGTTGCGATAGAAGTTCATGGGGCTGGGACGGCGGCACGAGATGATCAGCATAAATGATGGCGCAACACGCTGATAGAAGTCCTCAATGAAGACGCGCAATGCGCTGGCCACAAACTGATTTATTGCCGCCGACTGGGTCTGTGCGCCCCGATAGTCCATCGACTCGAAGTGGAGCAGCCCGCTGATGTTCATCGTGCGGTGCGTTGTGCCCGAAAAAAGTCGGATAACTGCGGACGCGCAGCCAGGACAAATGACATTAGGAGCTTGGGTCAGGAGGAGCTCTCACATCCGCAACAGCTGAGCAACTGGGCCAGGCCTTCACATCACACACGCCCGATTACACCCATATATATACATATGCGTATATATACACTATATACATATACCCTAACTGTATGCTCATTATGCCTAATTGTGGCACAAAGTCAACAAACAACTTTTCTTGTGACGTCTTATCACTGGCAACCGGATCAATATTGGCCGCCAGTCAAGCTTTCCACTTTCCACTTGAAGCCGCCTCTAGATATCGCATTCACCCGGCTGCAGCTCCAGTTAACTATTCGCCAAGCCAATAAAAATGTTAAATTTTCTACATTTTCGATTCTCTAACGGACAACCCGCAGGAGATGGTCGTAAGTATTCAATATTAATCAGAATCGAAATTATGGATAAAAATGTCTTTTTTTTTTCTATACATTTTAGATATTACTTTTCCGCCGATGGTGAGCTTCAAATATTTGTAAAAATGTTGAGATTTGTGTGTGTTTGTATGTATGTGTGTGTGTGTTTGTATGTATGTGTGTGTGTGTTTGTATGTATGTGTGTGTGTGTTTGTATGTATATATATGTGTGTGTGTTTGTATGTATGTGTGTGTGTGTGTGTGTTTGTATGTATGTGTGGGTGTGTTTGTATGTATGTGTGGGTGTGTTTGTATGTATGTATGTGTGTGTGTGTGTGTGTGTGTGTGTGTGTGTGTGTGTGTGTATGTATGTGTGTGTGTATGTATGTGTTTCTGTGTGTGTGTATGTATGTGTTTCTGTGTGTGTGTTTCTGTGTGTGTATGTATGTATGTGTGTGTGTGTGTGTGTGTGTGTGTGTGTGTGTGTATGTATGTATGTGTGTATGTGTATGTGTGTGTATGTATGTATGTATGTATGTGTATATTTATGTATGTGTGTGTGTGTGTGTGTAATTATGCATGCATTCATGTATGTATGTATGCATGCATGCATGTATGTATGTGAGTATGTATGTATGTGTGTATGTATGCAAGCATGCATTCATGCATGTATGTATTATGTATGTGTGTATGTATGTCTGTATGTATGTATGTGTGTGTATGTATGCTTGCATATGGCTGTTATATGTATGTTTGTATGTATGAATATCTGTGTATATATATATAGGGTATGTATGTATGTGTGTATGTATGCAAGCATGCATGCATGCATGTATGTATTATGTATGTGTGTATGTATGTCTGTATGTATGTATGTGTGTGTATGTATGCTTGCATATGGCTGTTATATGTATGTTTGTATGTATGAATATCTGTGTATATATATATAGGGTATGTATGTAAACATGCAACACCAACATTACTTCTTACTGAGCTGCTTATGTTATTTAAAAAAAAACGTATTTTTCACGAAAGCCGTTCTACGCGATTCTCATGAATTCAAGTAGGCCCCACATATTGAAGTGTGCATTTAGTTACGTGGAGGAGGCGGCTTCGACTTGCAGGAGGCGGCTTCGACTTGCAGGAGGCGGCTGCTTCGACGAGGAGGATGATGTTGCAGCTTCGACAAAGAGGAAGGGGCTCTGCCATGGAGGAGTCGGCCGCTTTGAAATGGTGATGGCGTCAGTAGCAGCTTGGAGGTGACGGCTGCTTCTTCAATGAGGAAACGGCGGCTTTGACAAGGAGAAAGCGGCTTCGACAAGGAGGAGACGGCCCTGGCATGGAAAAGGCAGCTGCTTCGACGAGGAGGAGTATGTGGCAGCTTCGACAAGGAGGAAGCGGCTGCTGCGACAAGGAGGAGGTGGTGGCTTAACATGGAGGAAGCGGCTGCTCAGACGAGGAGGAAGTGGTTGCTTTGTCAAGGAGTAGGATGTGGCTGCTTCGACATGAAGGAAGCGACGGCTTTGAAAATTCGCTGCGCTGCACATTTAAAGAAAGAATCGAATTTAAACTTAAGCTGTAATAAGCCTTCTCGGATACATCAAAAAAATAATATATATGTGTGAATATCACCTAATCTAGTCAGTTAGAAGCACGCCTTTCAGTAAACCTACAAAATTCTTGAGCCTTCAAGTCATTTACATAAAGTCCATCCAAATGGCAGAAGGAGAGGAAGAACGTGGCTGCCATGCTCCTCCGAAATGGCTGGATGATCGCCGGGATGGCAGTGCGTGCAGCATACATCTGGAGCGTAAGGACGATGGGAATTTGATTGGCGCCCATCTAGCGTGTATACGGAGCTGCATGAAGGACCTGCTGAGTAAGATCTGGAGTGCTGACATTATCGAGATATCGCGTAAGGGACATCAGCGTACCAATTCGCCGGCCGGTGAGCAGGTGCAGGAATTTGATGAGAATTTCCTCAACTCGCACGTGAATATTGTTGATTCTTAATCGATCCAAAATGTTTCAACTTTCCTGGCTGGTTGACTTGAAATATGAACTATAGCTAATTTATAGTTTATTAAAATGAAGGCGAAACGTTTTGAGTGGCGTGTTTTTTTTTATTTTAATTTCGCAAGCCGTTAATTTCTCACTAGCATCGATGCCGCCAAGCGCTGGGCAAAGTATCGTTTTAGTATATTTGTGGTAAGTAATAATCGTTAAAACAGCTGGTCGTGTTAAGTGTTGCTTGCCAGCTATCGATACATATCGATAGTCTGTGAACATCCCTAACTAGCGCGACTCAAGACCAACAAAAAAACGCTGTTTTTGGAGACAAATCAAACGGCGGTGAACAAGCGCGGACCGCAACGCAGCCAAAGCCAGCAACAATTTGAATAAACAATCAACAAAATTGTATGTTTGCCTAAACGCGCGCAGAGTGTAACGTTGGAATAAAACTCGCTGTCAACGTCACTGCAACAAGAACAACCCTCGCGTCGCGTAATAATAAAAACGAAAACAGTTGTTTGTCTTCTTCAGCAGCGCTGGTGGTGGTGCTGGCCGCAGAGCAGCGATGCAGCAGCTACAACAAAATCAAAATTAACCGTTTTCGTTGTTTTTTGCGCGTAAAAACACTAAAGTTTAAATTTAGAGTCTGCAGCAATCTATTAATAAACAAAAACGTAAGTGCAGTGAGCTCATAAGCAATTGTGTATGTGTGTATGCGCGCATTGTGCAATTTTAGAACAACAGTTATACGATTAAAGTTCATTTGAATGCGCGTTGCACTATTTGCTAGCTATAGCTGTACATTGTGTGCGAGAGAGCGTGTGCATTTGTCTCTTTTTTTTATGGTATGCATGCATGTGTGTGTGTGTGCGTGCGTGTGAGTGTGTGTGTATGCAGCTGGCCACACGCTCTGCTGCTATCTGCCTAGCTCTAGCAGTGCGTGCGCTTGCCTCAGTATTTGTATGTGTGTGTGTGTGTGTGTGTGTGTGTGTGTCTGTAAGTGCACAATAAGCCAAACAACAACAAAACGAATTACTGCTAATTGTTTAATTAAATATTTAGTCAGCCGCAGACGCTACTAAATCTATTGCTGCCGCGCTCTCTTGGCCACTTGGCTTGGCCAGTGTCCTTGACATGATTACGTTTTCCGTTACGCTTTTGCACTATAAGCAGCGAAGGGAGGGGGGCGTGCTTGTCTCTCTTTCTCTCTGGCTTTATGTATGTGCGTGAGTGCGCGCGCGTGTCTGTGTGTGTGTCTATCGATTGCTGCCTGCTGCTCCTGCCTTGCCTCTCTCGCTCACTCTCGCTCTCGCTTTGGCCCAAAAAGGGGTGGCAAATTATTTATTTTTTTTTGTTGTGCTTTTTTTCTTTTTAAATTCTGTTGTCATGGCACATGTGAATCGTATCGTTGTTGTTGTTGTTGCTGTACGCCTCTTATCATATTCCCACACATGGCCTGCTGATAAGACCAACGGCAATCGCAACTGCAGCCGCAGCCGCAGCGTAGCAGCAGCCGGAGGCGGATGAGGTGTGCGGTTATTGTAACTTGTCAGCCCATATACCCCCCCCCCCCCCGCGCGTTCCAACCTCCCTCCTCCCTCTCCACACTCCGCACACACGCACAACGTATTTATAGACGCCAAAGTTCAAGTGCAGCCTTCTATCGCTGTGGGAGCCGCAGCTGTGCCCCAGTTGGTGGCTCCGCTTTGTGGCATTATCTCAGCGTCTATAAATGTCGAGCGCGGCTGTTGTCGACTTTTCCTGACCTTCGACAGCAGCACAGCCAGCGTCAGCGCCAGCACAGGGCGACCAGTGGCCCAAGCAACATCCGAAAATAATCTACCAAAGCACAGTGTGCGCACGCTATATGAAACCTATTGAGGTTGCAGTAAAACGGGAGCTGCAAGAAAGACAAAATCAATTAAATGTGGCGTGTGAATGATGAAAAGATAAAAAAGAAGAATTGAATGTGGTTTATTTCAAAGATATTACGAAAACATTGTCCCCTTATAAAAAGCACATGTTGTACAGTGAATATCCTCCATGAAATACTTTGAAAAATCAATAGTTCAAATTTACAAATTAGATTTTAGGTGCATATTTAAATACAGTACTCGTTTGCACACTGGCAATGTCTTCCAGGATCAAATCGTAAGCACACAAACCCGTATTTATTAATATAGCTTTGATCAAGAGATCGAAAAGTCGGCTTAAACTGTTCGGCGGCTGATCTACTAAGTTTTATAAAACACTTATAACAGTTAGTACAAATATGAACGAGTTATATTTTATTGCGTGTTTACTTTACAAGCTGGTATATTGTCCTGAAAGGCCCCCCTCCCCCTCCCTCTGTTGACCCCTATTTCTATGCCTTTCATAGAAATTTCGCGAGGTTAGAAAATGATGCGGGTTTACTAATTAACGCTTTGGGCTGTGATCGAAGTTTTTGAAATTTCACAATTTCGCAATTTTTAAAGTGATTTTGCTATACCCTGTAGCCAGTGAAGAAGAGGGTAGACTGATAGTATTTTGATCTGTTGGGTATGTACAGCGGTGTTTGTCTGTGTCCAAGCCTCGACCTTACAGGGTATTGAGGGCAAATCTAGAATATCAATTACGGTGCGAATGTCGCTTGTGCAGGGTATTTGCAAGTCCGTTCAATTTGGATACGTTTTTTGGGATGGCCTAAGGCCGTGCCGGCAAACTAACTGTACAAACAAATGAAAAGCTTTGCTGATGCAACCTGCGTTTCCAGCGAAGCTCAAGGCCTGCCTTCTTTTCTCATGCCAATCAAGCCCTTCCCTTTCCCCGCGTGGCACTTGTTACTTATCGAGTCATACAGCTGGGCGCGACATGTTCAAGCAGGCAGTCCCTGGGCTTGACTCATTTAGCCCGCATTGCTTATGTTTGCGCCGCGATAAGGCCTTATCAGCGCAGCAGAGCGCAGGGCCCGAAACGCGACTCACGTCTGAACCACCCCAAAGTAGGGCCATACATTTAATTGCCCTCTAATGTTTACCTGCACTTAGCAGCAGCTCTACCTGGCATAGCCTAAAATGTCAACTGGCCGACTGTGCCGAGTCAGTCAGTTGATGTTTGTCTACGTAGCCAGTTCGATAAATTTTCCATAAATACATAAATATATATATATATGTATATATATATATATATATATATATAGATATATATATATATATTTATCAATACATATATACATTTATACATCTGTATTTCTGTATATAGCCTATAAATATATATTTTCTATGTAAAATCCTTAAAAACAAAATATAAATATCAAATTCTACAAAAGTTGAAAGCACGCTTGCCCAAAGACGACCACTGTATGTATGCCTCTGTGTGTGTTTGTGTGTCTGTTGTGTGTGTGTGTGTGTGTGTGTCTGTTGTGTGTGTGTTAGTGCAAACGCGGAAGTGTTTCAAGCTACTTGCATTTCACGCTGCGCTGGGTACGTATAAGACAAAATCCCCTAACTCCCCCCCAGAGTCCACTCTTTGATTTGTGTTCTTGTTTTTTTATAGTTTTGTTTTTTCTATTGCGCCGGCGATCAGGCAACAAGCAACAGTTAACGCCCATTAACTAATTACCAGTTAGCACGTCAAGTGGGCAGCACTGGACCCGTGCCAACACTTGGCAGCACTGGCCAGAAGCTTCAAACAAACCAAAATACCGGGGCCCCATTCTCTCAGTATGCGCGTCGCATGCGTTGCGACGCATAACATTCGAACAACATGACAGCCGTTACAAATGGACAGCAGAGACACAGACAGACGGACGGACGGACGGATAGATACTCTATGTGAATGTGTGATTGACACGCCCACCAGCCCATTGGCAACTGGCTGAGCCCAGCATTATAAGCTGCCCAAAACTAGCGCTCACACGCTCTCTCCCTCTGCCTCTGCCTCTCGCTCCTTCTGTCCGTCTCCCTTCCACATTTTGGCCATATCTTGGAGGCCTAGAACCACGTTGTGCTCCATGCTGGCAGACATTGATTAATGAGCTGGCTTGCAAACTGTCGACCAAAAAACAAATTACAATTTTATTCAAATTTATTTTTTTTTTGTTTTTTGCCTAGTCACAATTCGTATATACCCTGTAAAATATGTTAAGCACAACGCGGTTTTAATTGCGTTTTCCTTTGCCTCAAATGCAAATCGTGTCAGCTTTTGTTACATATCATACAGGCGCACGCGTGCAGCATGCCCCATTTGTGTTCGTTCAATTACAGGGTATATGCATAAGACATAAGAACAAGCTCGACACATTTAAATCAATTCTAATTAACTCTAACACGCTTCACCCCGTGCGCTCTCTCTCTCTCTCGCTCTCTCTCTCTCTTTACAGGCAACTGCCTCGATAAAGCTATATATCTCGCAGATATACCCCACACATACATACATACATATTTATATGTATATATACGTCTACAGCTCGGCAATACCAAAGTAGAAGAAGCACAAGAATAAGAAGAGGAAGAAGCAGCAGCTGAAGCTGAAGCAGAAGCAGAAGACGATCCACGAGAAAAGAACACAAAAGGCGCATTTGTTGTTGCTCTCTAGTTACCAATTTTGGTATCTAATGCAATTTTCGTATTGAATTTTGTTGTTGCAATTGGTTCGAGTTGGCAACAAATTCTGTAATTTTTTTCTTCCTGTAGTTGTTGTTGCTTTTTTTTTTTTTTTGTTTGATTGTTTGTTGTTTCCTGTTCTATCCACGAGACGCGAACCAGTTGTGTTGTGTTCCAGTTGGATACAAAGACAAAGTAAACCGCAACACTTAACCGATTCGAATCGGGTACAAAAACAAAACACAGCTCAGCTCGTACAATATTTAAAAGGCACAAATAACAGTGTTAACAATGTTCAGTCCGGAGTTCGAGAAGCGCATCCTGAAGCATATCAGTCCCGTGGCCAGAAATCTATTTGATAATCTGGAATCGTCGACGACGCCAACATCGCTGGATCGTTTCATACCCTGCAGGTGAGTGAACTTTACAATTTTACAATCACAAACCCCCCAACCCCCCAACTACCCATGACAATGTCCGGCTCAGGCCGTTAGTTTGTACTGCGTCACCTTTTCCGCTTGCCAACCAGCTCGAAGAGCTCAAAGAACAAATCATAAACAATAACAACAACAATACACCTTCCCCCACCTGCCCCTCTACATTTTCCGGCTGGCTGCAGCTCGTTGAGCTAACGGAACCACAAAACCCAACACAGACACGAGATCACGTCAGTGCCAGACTTTTTCCCGCTGTTCCAAGCCCCTCCTCCCCCCCACCCCTCCGCCCAGCTCCCGGCCCCGGCACGACTGTGGCTCGCCTCGATTGCTGCTAATGAGCTGTGCTGGCAACCAGTTGCCTAGTGCTGCATGCCACACCACACACACACACACACTCACACACACACACACACACTCACACACACACACACATACACGCACACACTCGCACAGGTTTCGCTGTATTTGTAGCTGTGCTTCTTTGCCTTTGTAGCTGTATCTGTTATGACACTTCCGCATCTTTCTGTACACTTTTTTTTGTAACTTACCTACATTTCCATGCCCAAAGTTGAGCTCATTTTCGTGTACATTCTATTTCAGAGAATTTGCACTTAATAGCCTCCATCTGGCTTTTTCACCTGCCAAACAAGATCAAGATTTCTGTTTCATTAAATATTTTCGAGTGTTTTTTTTACTATTATTTACGCCCTTTAATGATTTGGTGCAAAGGGGCATTAGGAGCTGTCTCTCCGATATATATTTAGATGTATTCTTAATATATTCCGTTCTCTTTAATATTCTCCGTCTGTTCATCGGAGAACTTATCGATGGCAATTGAATAATATATACGTTCTCCTTCTCTTCGATGTCTCCTTACATTCCCAAAATATCGATAAATATCGAAAATATCGATCTCGGAAACTACTTAAGCTGCAGACTTTAAATTTGAAAAGCATTGTATTTAAAAAGATACCCTCCCATAACGTACGCAGACCCCCTTTTTTTTTAGATGGTTAGCTTCTTTCATTTTGAATGTATCGATAACTATCGATTTGCATGCATGCTCTTTTAGCAATTATTGACTTTGAAAGATGGTTTCTTAAGTGTAACCCGAAAATTAGAAGACGTTAGATTCCGAAAACTTGTTATGTAGATTCTCGTATGGCATATACAAATTAGATATATTTCACTCTTGTTCTATTGATTCCCGAAATTCCTCCAGAATTATGAAAATATGTCACATTTAACTAGTGAACACTTCATAAAGATCGCAGCGTAACTTGTTGCAACTGTGACAACAGTTAACAGCTGCTGTGGCCTGACAACATTCTGTTAACTCTTAACAGCTGCTGTTAGTGCGCTGCTAAGCTGGCTGCATTGTTATCAATGCCCACGGCTGTGGCCTGACTTAACATTCTGTTAACTCTTAACAGCTGATGTTAGTGCGCATTGTTATCAATGCCTACGGCTGGGGGCAAGCGCCTCTTCGGCATTGTCATGCCTGTGTCACCTGCTGCCTTTGATTGAATTGTCGCTGTGCCAACTGCAGCCCTCCCCTCCCCCAACATACACACACGCTGTCATTTACCTTGTCCGTTTGCTTATGGAATTGATTTATTGTAGGTGGAAGTAAGTGCTTGAAATGCGTTTGCCAGATAAGCAGCCGAGAGGTGGCGGGTGCGGGCTGCGTGGGGCTGAGGTGTAAAGCGGCAAGCGACGCATGTTGCATGCCTAAACAGATTGTTGTGCCTGTGTGTGTGTGTGTGTGCAATGCAATTCAATAGCCCTCTTCCTGTCTGTTGTCCCCTCCTCTAACCACATTTTGTTCATATTTTTTTCTTTGTACCCTTGTTAATTTTTAGTTTTTTTTTTCGTTTGAATTTTGGGGGGAGGTTAAAATTCTCTCACACTTGGCCACAAGTTTCATGGCGAATTCGCCAAGTTGGCAAATTTGCGAATTTGCCAATTTGTGCAAATGTTGCGAATTTGACATTCAAAATATGTGCTCTTTTTTTTTTTTTTGCTTTTTGCACGTTGCACACGTTTTTTATGTTTTATGAGCAAAAATAATAACAATTGTTTGCCCACTTCCCCGCAATTGCTGCGAACTTATTGTTTGCATTACGTGGGGCGTCAGGTAATCTCCAGGAGTGAAGTGGTAGGATGGGGAGTGGGAGGGGGGTTGCCGCACCGTGCACAGACACGAAGGGTGTTAAGAGTCATATTGGGGTCCCCTTCGCGCCAGACACACAGCGCACAATTGAATTTGAACGCGTTTGCATAAATTTACTTTTGCAATTGTTGTTTCTGTTGTTGTTGTTGTTATTGCTGATTGTATAAATAATTTATATTTTGGCAAAACTTTTTGCCATGCTTTGTGCCCAGCTTGCGAAAAAAGAAGAAGAACAAGTGCCATGAGGGAAAAACAGATGAGAATGCGGCCAGGCGAGAGTCTGCACGACTCGGAGTTGCCCTGTTCCGTTGCCCAACTTTCAGTTGCGCCTGATTTAAGTGCGATTTTGAGGCACATTGGCAGCTTTTCGCCAGCGCGATAGAAAAGCGATAGACACGCGATATGGCTGGCTGTAGAGCTGACTCTGCAGCTAGAAAAGCGTTTCGTTTGGGAGATAGGAATGCGTAGATGAGAGTTAGACACAGAAAATACGACAGTGTCGCTTGGGTAATAGAAAAGCGATAGAAATGCGATATACAGAACGTGAAAACGAGCGAAAGGAAGCGCTCGGCTTGGCGAATGGGTAAATAGAGAACATTACGCCTGGCTGATGAGGGAGTATCGCTTGGAGGATATATTTGCGATATACAGACGCATTTTCGAGTAATAAATTTGTTTAAAAATGTCATTTCAATTAACGCTATCAGTTATTTCTTTGCCAAACTATCTAGCCCACCCTTTCGATTGAGGAATTGCAGGGTGTTTATTATTATTTCCTAGACACAGCTGCAAACCTTGCCTCTCATTTTTACTTTGATTACAGGGTATACCATGTATAAATAAGCAGGGAGCAGAAAAATGCATTAAATATAAATCTCAGCCTTTCCGTTTAAATTTACATTAATTGCAATTATTATCATATATACAAGTATTTGCTCTAATCTGGCCCCAAACCCGATCTCGTATCACGCAGGGCGCACAACAATTGGCAAACGAGCTTTGCGTCCATTAACAAGTCGAATGATAACTCGCCGCAGACGAGCAAGAAGCAGAGGGATTGCGGCGAAACGGCACGCGATAGTCTGGCCTATTCGTGCCTGCTGAAGAACGAGCTCCTTGGCTCGGCCATAGACGATGTGAAGACCGCCGGGGAGGAGCGCAACGAGAACTCATATACGCCGGCGGCCAAGCGCAGCCTCTTCAAATATCAATCACCCACCAAGCAGGTAAGACACCGCCCGAAACACCCCTTGAACTATTTTTTTTTTTTTCGTCTTCGTTTTTTGAAATTGTGAGATACTTTGCACTAATTGAATTTGCAGCCAGCTTCTTGTTGAGTGTGTGAAATATTTAATTGAGCCAATGGCTTCTATTGTGAGCAGCTTTTATGCAGCGTCTGTCGGTGAGTGGACTATTTGGGTTGAATGCACTGCTGTGGGTCAGGCAGCTGTCGCAGCCATGTCTAGACATCTATTGTGCGTCAGTGCTGCAAGCCGGCAAAAGAAAAGTCGGTAGTTCGAAGCATGATATTTGGTTTTTTTTGACACAACTCTAAAACTTAGTCTTACGTTTATAGATTTTGTAATGAAACATTTTCAATTCTTTGCTACCCATGAAGATGAATGAAAGATACTGAACCTATATAAGCTATTCTAGAAGCTACATATTAAATTTGAGTTAGATATCGATTGTTATCGATTGCTCGAAATAGGGGCAAGTCATCGATTCTCGTAGACGAACTCGTATGAAAGACACTTGATCTATAGTGTATATATATAATATTCTAGAAGCTAAATGTCAAATTTGATAACTCTGGCCATTAAAACCAAACAGATTTGCTCAAATAACTGAATTTCAATATCGATTCTTATCGATTGCTTAGAAAAGGCGCAAGTTATCGATTATGGTAAAGAAAGTCGTACTGCGCAGGCACTAGGAGAATCTTGTCTCCCAGCTCTTGTAGATTCTGAGACAGACTCGGCTACTGAAGCTGACCAAGAATATATATGTACATATATACTGGATTCGTTCGGAGATGCTTCCTTCTAACTGTTACATACATTTGCACAAATACATTATTCCCTTTTTAACTATTTTGAATGGGTTCAATCCAAACAGTTGCCTCCCCCTTTCAAGCTAAGTTGTAATTGATAGTTATTATTATATATCTCCTATCTCAAGATTCCAGGAGTTATATGAGTTATTGCAATTTTGGTTTGGCAGATGTTTACAGTAACAAGGCATAAATATTGGTTCGATTTCGTATATAACGATCAGATCGGGCTAAAGACTATCATCAAAAAGGAGTCAAAGTCGATCTCTTGTCTCTTGTCTGACTTTACTTTATTAACAAGCTGACGCATTATGGAGTAGGAGGAGGGGGAGGGACTCTCTGTCTAGCCTCTATTTGGCCTGCGTACGTGTGGGCCAACATATTGGCCATTATTTATGGCAGCTACATTGCGGCCGCACATAATTGAATTATATATGATTTGTTATGACCAGGGCTCAAACAAACAAAAAAAAAACCTCTTGGCCACTTTCGACTGCCCCCGGGAGTGTGTGTGGGGGGGTGTGTGTTCACAGTTTTGTGTTAATTGTGTGGGCGTGATGTAGATGAATGGCCGCTGATTGAAGCGACAATTTCCATAGGTTTTGGCCCCCGGTTTAGAAACCACTCGCAAGCCAAATCTCGAGCCCATTAATCAAAAGTCCAAATGCCCGGGCAAAATTTGTATAACCTGTGCCCATTCACAATATGCACAACAGGGTGTTTTAGTTTTGCGCAGCAGCATGTAACAGCCAGAGAAGGGAAGCCTTTCCTGATGCGGATAAGCAGGCTGGGTCGATAGGGACCCGGGTTCCACTAATTACTTGAGATAGATCTTAAATATATATGCCTATATGCAATACGCAGAACGTGTTCATTATGCTCTGTTCGATATCTTCTTATATTTGCATAATATCGATACTTAGCGATTTTGTTGTTGTGCTTCTTTGAGCATAACTCAAAGACTTTGGGAACGTTTTCACTTTGAGGAAGCACATATTTAACCCCTGAAAGTCTTACTTAAATATCGGACTATAAACACCCGAGTTACTCGGGCTAGTATTTTCCCAAGTCGCAAGAAGAAGCACAGATGCTGCCCGAAGTGTACAGAGTATCAGTTGGTCGGTTCCCCACTCTTGGCTAACGTAAGGTTTGCTGCCAAATGAATTTGGCCAGAATATGGCATGTTAATGGAGCTGCCGCTGCCGCTGCCTGGAGGCACATGCTTATGGCTATGTGCCCGCTGCCCGCCACCCGCTTCCCTCTGCCCGCTTCCCCTTTGGGCAGCCTGAAGTCACGATCTCGATGTCTGGCTGGCCTGGGCTGTTCATTGCGTGCGCGTTATTGACTCAAGTGTCGTTTTAGACCACTGAAGTAGTTGGGGCCCAAATGAGCTGCAGACGCAGAAAAATACCAGAGCTTCGGGTTCGGGTTCGGGTTCGCAGCTCAAATCTCAAGAATATGGGCCTTTGTTCGGCGCTGCGCGGCCTTTTGTTGCTGCCCATTGTTGTTGTTGCTGTTGCTGTTGTTGTTGTTCTTGTTGTTGTTGTTGTTTTTCAACTGGCAACGTGTCAACTGTCAAAAATTAGTCAAAGCAAATGCCAATGAACAGCGCTGCCCACTTGGAGACGTGCGTCTGTCGGCGCGCCAATTGAGGCAACATAAATCTGATAAGCGCGCAAATATGTCACCTGATGATGAAAAACGTGGCCCACACACAAAAAAAAAAAAACAGTTGCCTCTTCAGTGGCAAGTGGCAACAGTTGAATAGAAATAGCTTTAAAAAAAAAGAAAGAAACACTCGACAAAATGTAAACGTCCAAACACAGGCCAAACAGTTGAACAAATCAACTAAGAACCGGCTGTACCAACAACAACAACACCTGTGAAGAAATCAAGGTATGTTAACCCCAAACCGAGCTGAACCGATCCGGTCTGCAAGAGAGAGAGAGAAAGAGAGAGGGGGGGAAATGGGAAAGGAGGTGTGGAGGCAACTTTTCATATACATATCTGTCCATTCCACCTGACCAAACAGTTTTCACAAACCGGTTAACAGAGATAAATGAACAAATACAAATACAATAGATATATATGCCATTAGATAGATAAATAGATGTATTTTGTATGATAGAGTGGTAAATATGAAGTTCGAACGATATACATAAATGCATGTAAATATTAGATGGATAAATAGATGCATTGATAGAAAAGTAAATATCAAGACAAATATAGTGCGATATTTATACTTTTGATCCGTATAGTTATCACACTTGGCTTAACTATACAATAATAAAAAATAATAGTATATAATATAGTATATATACAGATATACATATAATATATAATATAGTATATAGACAGATATATTGCATATAGCTTCATAATACTTGACCCATTCGATTTTCTTGGGATAACTTGGCTTCATCTCAGGCCACACTTAACTCTCGCGAGTCAGCTACATTTTCTTTGTACATAGTTTTCTTTGTGGTTTTTCAATTGAAAAACCCTCGAAAAACTCTTATGGGCCCGCTTACTGAGCCCTCATTAATTATGGCCAAAATGGCCCAAAAACTAAAAACTGAAAGAAACAAATTAACAAAAATGAACAAAAAGCCGTCGCTTTAACATTGCTGGGCAGCTTGTTGTGCACCTGTTTGGCCAACATTTTGTGTGTGGCCATTATAGAATTGTCTCCCCTCCCCCTCACCCTCCGCAGCCCTGCCCTTCTCCCTCCCAGCCAGTTTGCGCTGCGATCAACACTTGTTGCTGTTTATTTTATTGTTATTATTATTATTAATTTATGCAGCAGACATTTGCATTAGCATAAAATTAAGCTAGCCGAGCTGCGCGGGCTTTGCACAATTTAGGAGGGAGGGGGAAGTGGGGAGGGGGGGGGGGGGTTGGATCTCTGCTCGCGACAGATTCAAACTTGCACTGGTTCGAACCCACTAAAGCCCAGTCATTTAGCCATATACCCAAAAGGCCATTCGCTTTCCCATTATCATGATCATTAACATTCTCATTTACCTCACGCTCTCCTCTGTCCCCTTGCCGGCATTTGGTTAAGCTTTAAGTTGTTGTGCTTCCTCTTCCTCGGTCTCATCTGCTGCTGCTTCTTCTTCTTCTTCAACTGCCGCTGCTGCTGGTTGGCTGTTTGTTTATTTAATTTATGAGCTGTGCCTGCCAAGCGCCGCCCACAAAGCACTTTAGCAGCAACAACAACAACAACAACAACAAAAGCCGGCCGGCAATGACCATTCCATTCCGCGCATTCACATCCCATCGTTCCACTTGAATCGAACATTCCGCTACATACCATTCGTTTCGATTCGCTTCGATTTGCTACGTTTTCAATTCCCCCACAAAATCTCACGAACTTTTACTTTATTTTGGCTGCTCAACAGATCTTCAGAACTAATACAAAATGAAGAACACAAATCGAAGAGCCAAAAAAAAAAAAAAAATAGACAAATCTTTTCAATAATTGTTGTGCTCTAAAAGCGCAGACTGTACTTTTGCTGTGTAGCCAGAATGGGCGGCAAACATTTGCCTGGCATTTATTCCGCTGAAAATGGGGTTCATACGAGATTCAATGATTTTTATAGCTCAGCCCACGGGCGTGAAATGGTCGTGATTTGGCCGACTTACTATTAGATTTAACACAGGCGGAATATGGGTGGAAAATGAATTTAAATAACAAAAATTTGGCTTCTTTTTTCTGAAACTAATGAGAGTTTTTTCCAGCTTCGTCTGTATAAAGCTCAAAACTCTTGCAATTGATTTACATTTAATTAAAGATTGATTTTTCTTTGACTATTCCTTTAAATAATGCTACTTATTGTTAATTTGTAAATGTTGTTGTGTTAATAACTTTTTGGAGCTCGTTAACTGATCTAATTTTATATAAATACTATATTCATAGCTTCATCAAGTTATCGAGATTCTCCCTTGGCCTCAGATTAAACTTCAGATTTGCTGTCTATATATTCTAAAGATATCTTGCGCAGCTATCGAAATGTTTTAACCAAGTCGACTTGTAATGCCGACTGGGTATCTATTATTGCACACAGCTTCCATATACCCTGTAAGAGGCACTGGGGGCGTTTCTGTAGCTAGTTAAACTGCCCAACGAGCTCTGCGACTGTAATAGCTAGAGTTGAACAATTTATCTATGCTCTGCAATGCCAAGCTCAATTAATTAATGAATATGCCTTTTATGCAACTATAGGGTATGTGTGTCAGTCGTGTACGTACACTCTTAATCGTGACGTACAGGGTATTTGCATAGTTTATTAACGACAAGAACAATGACAGCGTCTGTTGGCCGATGACGAATGACACATTCAAATGACAACAAACAAGACTACAACATAATAAGAAGAAGAAGCAGAAACTGTTAGCAAAGGCCAAGAGAGAGAGAGAGAGAGGGAGTGAGAGGAGGTGAAAGATTTAATCGAAAAAGCGACAACGTTCGTTTGCGAATTCAGATTTCCTCAGCGTTTGCTGTCGCCGTTTCACAATTGAATTTCTAATAGGCTTAGGCCAACACACACACACACACACACACACACACACAGACACACACGCACACACACACACCTGGCTAGGGCCAGGCACTTGGCATCGAAAAGCATTTAAATTTAATGGCAGTTGCTTGTACGCTTTATGGGCCCACGGACCAAGCCATACCGGACCAGACCAGGCCGTGCCGGGCTGGCGGCGCAGCGGGCTGCTCGGCTATTTGAAACTGTTTAACTGCCCTGTGTGCTCGGCATTCCCAGAAAGCGGCAAACCAACATCATCAACAACAACAACAATAACAATGGCAACAAAAACAACAGTCGCAGCAAAACAGTCCAAACAGAGCCATTAAAATGTACTTTTTCTTATACCCTTGCTGAGGGTATTACAACTTTGTCTCGCAATGTGCAACACGTAGGAGATGTCTCCTTCTCCGACCCCATTAAGTGTATATATTCTTGATCAGCATCAACAGCCGAGTCGATGTCGTCATGTCGCTCTGCCCGTCCGTCCGCCCCATTGTCCATCTTTCCCTCTGTCCGTCTGTCTGTTTCTATGCGATCTTGTCGCTCAGCTTTAAAGATGTCGTCATGAAACTTTGCAGAAGTTCCCCTTTCTGTTGCACGCACGTCTGGATCGGATTACTATATCATTTAGGAACGATTGGTCGAAAAGATGGCTATTTTCCCTGTGCTTCTTAGAAACGGGCAAAAGATTGGCTCTGCAAGGGTATTAGATCTTCGACGTGCCCAAGATATCCCTTCCTTCTGGTTTTTTTTTCACTCTGGTTTTCCCTGACCAAGTGCAAAGTGGGCATTAAGGGCAGATACCCTGCCCCTCAGCTAAACGCTGCCTCTGTCCAGTCGCGTAATCTTCAGCCATTGAAGCGACACGCAACACACACACCACACACAGACACACACACAGCGCACACTCTGCTCTGTTGTTAATGTCATTAACTTCCGAGTACTCTTTTTGTTTATACCCTGAACCCATTGGAAATGGTTAAAAAAGGTATAAGGTAGTTCTGCATAATATTTGTGACAGACAAAAGGAGGCAACTCGCAGCCATATAATCCATATGTATATATATATATATATATATATATATATAATTGATCGGGATGACGAACTGAGTTCTTCTACTCGTGTCCGTCTGCCTTCCCCATGAAATTAAAAAAAATTGTCGCATCGTGCGCTTTGATATATAATATATTACATATACTTATATATATACATATGTATATGTATATGTATATAGACTTCGTAGTATCAATAAATATCGAAGGAACTCATTTTTCAGGTAGAGCCTGAAACCTGAGCTTTGGTATACATAGACTTCTGTATGCCATCTTTAGACACTACAAATTTGCTACAGATCGGACTATGAACACCGAAGGTAATCAAGAATGCATTTTGCATGCATAGAGTAGGGTCAAGGGGAAGAAGAAGCACATAAAAGGAAGCTAAAATGTTGCATTAGGGTATCTCTAAGTCGGGCACTCCCAGCTAGAGCACTCTTGCTTATTTTCTTGTACTTCGACTCAGCTCTTAGCTCATAACTCTCTCTCTCTCTCTCTCTCTCTCACTCACACACTCTCTCTCTCTCTCTCTCTCTCTCTCTCTCTCTCTCTCTCTCTCTCTCTCTCTCTCTTTCTCTATCTTTCTCTATCTTTGTTGCCCCCCGGCTGCCCTTTCGCTCGCTAATTGAATTAAATTTTAATTTGCTAAACTCATTAAGAACCAACCCGAAATTCAGCTTAAGCAGCGTCAAGAGGCACTCTGACCCCCTCCTCCTCTCCCCTCCGGGCGGACTTTATCCAAGCCATCGGCCGGGCAATGGACTTCCCAACGCTTATCGCGAACAAACACTTGCGTATCGCATGCGTTCATCTTAGGGGGGTTTGTCTGTTTGCCAGCCTGAGCGGAAGCTCTTAAGAACTAACGAACTGCTGCTGACCACGTAATGCAAGCAATGACAACTTTTGACAAACTTCCAAATAACTCAGTTACTTCCAAAAGAAAAAGATAAGTGTGCGAACTGCACATTTGAGAACTGACTGTATTTTATGCCTGACTTAAAAGCTAGAAAACTGGCAATTCCACCTGCAAGTGTGAAAAAATTGTGGAAAACGGTTATATGAAACCTTTTTTGTTAACCATCCGATTGACTCGAATTCGAATTCCTAAGATCTTTGTGCAAATGCATTTGAGAGCTGTTTCACACTTTTCCGCAAATCCATCGCTCGTTGGTGAAAACGAGGTCTATTTGCGATCTCTGCTTATGCTCAAAGCTGTTCTTCACTGTTGAAGAATAAATACGTAATTCAACGTTTTTTGAAGCTCATGCCATGAGAGTGAAATGGTCATGATTCATCCGATTTACTTCAAACTCATTTTCGGCGGAAGTTGGGTGGAAAAGCAGAAAATAAAAGCTTCTATGGAGCTTTATTCATCTCGACTCGACTGATTGTGCACTAGATAAACCAGATATCTATTAGATTTAACTTGAATGGATGTAACTGCAGATTGTCGTGTCAAATTTGGCATGCGAATATCGGATTGGGGCACGCACAGCTCTTGCCAGCTGTTGTCTTGGCCCTGCGCATTTTAAATCCCGCATTGCGTAAGTTGCCCGGCCACCCCAGAGAGAGAGAGAGGAGGGGGGAGGGGTGGAGCAGGGGAACGGAGTAACAACGCATACGCTTAACACACTTCTGTCGCACGCATTTTCTATGCAAACGAGCGGAAAGACAAGCGGAGGAGGCTACACGCAGTGCGTGCCCGAATGCATGCTGGTCCGTTTCGCGCAGGGGAGCTGAGGGGAGGGTGGTCGGCGGCGGCGGAGCATTAGGTAGGCAGATCAAATGCGGACGCGGTCGCTGCTTTTAGCACGCTGGCGTTAATTGCCACGCCAAGTACGCGGCGAGCAAACAAAATTGAGAGGTTTGTTTGGTCAACTGATTTTGTGGGGGGAGACTCGCTTTGGCCAATTTGGCGCTTAGCTGCAACTGGAACAGTTGGCTAATTGATTCGCTAAACTGTTTGTTCTCCCTTCTATTTTATACACGCAGGACTACAATGGGGAGTGCCCGTACTCGCTGTCGCCGGTGAGCGCCAAGAGCCAAAAACTATTGAGATCGCCACGCAAAGCGACCCGTAAGATATCAAGAATACCCTTTAAGGTATTGGATGCACCGGAGCTGCAGGATGATTTCTATTTAAATCTGGTCGATTGGTCATCACAGAACGTGCTTGCCGTCGGCCTCGGCAGCTGTGTCTATCTGTGGAGCGCCTGCACCAGTCAGGTGATTATAGTTAACTCTGAAAACTGAAACTATTTTCCAACTAATGTGATTCGCTTTTTTCCATGCAGGTAACCCGCCTGTGCGATCTCAGTCCAGACTCTAATACGGTCACATCTGTGTCATGGAACGAACGTGGCAATACCGTCGCTGTGGGCACACATCACGGCTACGTCACAGTTTGGGACGTGGCAGCCAATAAGCAGGTGAGTGACGAGTAGCAACTAGTGAGTAAATAGCAATTAACAACGAGTGGGACGTATCGAGTGACTGACGAGTAGCGCATTGCAACACAAACAGAAGACTAGTAACAAGTGACGAGTAATTAGTGGCCGGTAGAGTGAAGTGACTAAGGAGAAACGTATAACGGAACCGACAAACGTTTAATGTCTGCCGAGAATCGCGTAACTGTAAGTAAAAAACGAGCAGCGAATGGCGGGTAAATAACGAGTATTGTGTTTATCAAGCTTAACTTAATCAGTTCTAAATAAGAAAAGCTAGTTACGCATAATGATTGATTGAGCGATTGAGAATGCAAGTTGCTTGAAACGAGTGACGTTAGCGAGCGGCGAGTATATGAGTGTCAAGCAACGATTGAGCAAAAGCACGTATAACGAACTTAGCTAGTTTAATAAACATAGAGTAAGTAGTTAGCAACGAGAAGAGGATAACGCGAGACAGGTAGAACAAATAAATAATGAAGAGCTTATGAGTGTCGAGCAACGGGCGAGACTAAGCATGTGTAACGAGCTTAGCAAAAGGCATAAAATACATCAAGCGACGAGTAGATAGTAACGAGCAGCGAGTAACGATTGATGAGTAACGAGAGATAGGTAGCAAGAAGCATGGAAAAAGTAACAGTTAACAGACCATTAGCGAAATGACAAAATGCAAGGAACGAGTGACGAGTGACGAATAGCTAATAACGAGCTACTGAGCTTTGAGCAACGAGCGAGAAGGAACCAGCTTACCGAGCTCAACTAACTGAACTTAAATTGTTTGCAGATCAATAAACTGAACGGCCATTCGGCCCGCGTGGGTGCACTGGCCTGGAATAGTGACATTCTGTCAAGCGGTTCGAGAGATCGCTGGATCATACAACGGGACACAAGAACGCCGCAGCTACAGTCGGAACGTCGTCTGGCTGGGCATCGTCAGGAGGTGTGCGGGTTGAAATGGTCGCCGGATAATCAGTATTTGGCCAGCGGCGGCAACGATAATCGCCTGTACGTATGGAATCAGCATTCGGTGAATCCGGTGCAATCGTATACGGAGCATATGGCCGCGGTGAAAGCAATCGCCTGGTCGCCACATCATCACGGCCTGCTGGCCAGCGGCGGCGGCACAGCGGATCGCTGCATACGCTTCTGGAACACGCTGACGGGCCAGCCCATGCAGTGCGTGGACACAGGCTCGCAGGTGTGCAATCTGGCCTGGTCAAAGCACTCATCGGAGCTGGTCTCCACGCACGGCTATTCGCAGAACCAAATACTCGTCTGGAAATATCCATCGCTGACGCAGGTGGCCAAGCTAACCGGTCACTCCTATCGTGTCCTCTATTTGGCGCTAAGTCCCGACGGTGAGGCGATTGTCACCGGTGCCGGTGACGAGACGTTGCGCTTCTGGAATGTGTTTAGCAAGGCGCGCAGCCAGAAGGAGAACAAGTCTGTGCTCAATCTGTTTGCCAATATCAGATAGATTGGATGGCGACACACGGCCACAGATGGGGGCACGCCCCAACAGTCGAGCGTGCGTTGACTGAACGAGGCGCCAAAGGCAACCAACCAACCAACCAAGCAACCAATCAGCCAATCAGCCAATCAATCAATCAATCAATCTATCAATCTTCAAACTGGGGGCTAAAGACGCATCCACATAGGGCACTATGTGAATATGTGTTGATTTAACAATATTTACTAAATTTATGTTAAACTTTATTGTCGATACTGTTCGATGCTTCTCTATGTGTAAGTTTTGGGCCGGGGCAAACTTCTGGTGAGAATTGTGGTTCAACTTCTAAGCAAAAAAAAAAAAAAACAACAACAAATACAACAAAATTTCAGTCAGTGCAGCGCTAAACCATATTTAAAAGAATAATCAAGCTTATAACTTAGTCAAAGTATCCTTCTACACCCCACACACACCACACACACAAACTCCGGATGCATCCGGAATACTTACAATAAGTCCAAAATATTGTTTATATTTAAGTATATAACTATAGTGTTTATTTAGCCGCACTGCATTAAGTAATTCGGTACATTGATGTAATTGTAATTCTAATCCAAGAACCAGAACTGAAAAAGGGTTTAAGTTAAGCCAAATGCTAAAAATCCTAATCTTAACTAATTGAAATCTATATATATGCATACATACATGTATATACATGTATACATACCATTTTTTTTCTCTTTGTATACTAAAAAAAAAAAAAATAACCCAAACTTGATAAATTTTTTTTGTGCTTAGCTTGTAAGCATTTATTATTTGCAATTGCAATATATTATATTTGTTTTTTTTTTTTTTTTTGTAACACACACACGTACACGCAACACATGTATATTTAATAAATTTATACAGTTTCAAAAGAAAAAGGTTTGTTAATTGAACGGCGAGTGGAATTTAAGTCTTAGCCTAGACACACACCACACGAACTTGCCATCCACAATTTAAGAGCCGCATGGTTTGCAAGTGTGCTAAGCGCTGGTCACACTTATTTTGCCCTGCTTGCAACAACCATAACACAAAGCTGTGCAAAGTTAAACGGAGCTTTTTCTCAAGCTTTTTCGGACGTGTAAATGCAATTAAAAACGCTTCCAGCTACGAATTTGCTCGCTCGCTGCAGCTTCCGACGGACGCGACGCCCCCGCCAGCGCGCGCCTCAAGCTTCTAGCCGCGTCTGCTGCTTGTCTCAGTGTGTGCATGTGTGTGTGCGTGTAAGTGTGTTGTTGTTTTTGTTGTTGCTGCCATCGACGGTTGCTTTTCAATTTTGGCCAAGTCCAAGTTTAACAGCGCTTAGCGCGCCAGAATCAAGTTCAGTCGCGCCGCAAACGCGTTGCGGAAATGTTTTGTTGTGAGCATCGTCGGCAACAGCAGAGCCAACGCACGCACCTTTTGTACGCACCTTCATGCACTGCTCCTTCGGCAGCCCAACAAAAGTAAACAACAAGAATTAAACGCGATAAAAAATACCAAAAAAAAAAATAATAAAAAAAAAACAAAAATCAACGGCTTATTGCAAAAACGAATCAGGTAAATGCAGCCGGGCGAAACGGTTAACGGTTAGCGGTTAACGGGCGCAGCGTTTAATGCCGGAATTTTTCAGGGATATTCGACGTTTTAATTTATTTAATTTTTTTTTGTTCATGTGTGTGCTGGTGTGTGTTTGTGTGTGTGTGTGTGTGTGTCTATGTAAAGCTGGCACGTGGTTTGGCTTCGTCCTTGCTGCAGCCGTTGTCGTTTTTGTCGTTGTTGTTGTTGCCTCTGACTGCCTTTTGAAGGTCATTACGCACCAGCACTGAAGGCCACAAAGGAAAGAGAGCTAGCAAGGAAGAGGGAGAGAGAGAGAGAGAGAGAGAGCGCGCGCGAGCTAGCAGAAGAGCAAGCGAGCGAGCGAGAAGGCAATCGGTGTTGAGCAAATGTCAAGAGGTGGTCACATTTGGCGGCAGGCTTTAGTGCTTAGGGCGGTGGGCGGGGAGCGGGGGACTGCAATGGAAAAGTTCTGGCTGCAAAGAGTGAAAGTGCAAAATGAAAGTAAAGCAAAAGTGGGCTAAAATCGAACTTTTGAATTGGTCGTGATGACAAAAGCTAAGCGTATTTTCATGCATATTAGCTGTAAATGTGACCTTGAACTCTTGTTTTTTTTTTTTTTTTTTTGCTTTTTAGAATATAACCCTGCCACAACAATTGATCAGATTGCAAATGGCCAGGGTTTCCATTAAAGAGAATTCCGTCGGAAATTTATCGACGGATTTCTCAAAAAAAAAAAATACGCCTAATTTTATCAGCTATACGATATAGTGCTCCGACCTGCCCGACTTCCGAAAAATGTGAATGCTTTATCTTAGAAATGATCTACTATTATATATATTGCGATATTGAAATCTCTCAAATCTCAGCTATGTTTATCTCTATATAGAAAACTTTTTTATCCTGACTTATTAACTATTCCAGGAAACTGAAAGTTTTACTCTAAGCTCCGAAATTGCGCGTTAAAACGGAAAAAATTCCACCGGCATGTGTGAAAAAAGCGTGAGAATGATTATTATCCGAACGACTTGAATTTCACACTTTTCAAAAAAAAAAAAAAAACCATTTCTTCTGTGAAAATGGGGGTCAAAGGTTGTCTGACTGTAATTTATATATCCGGCTTTCTGTTCTCTTTTCTGAGCTCCTTATTGTTTGTTTGTTTTTCAGCCAATATTAACTTGATATACATTTTCGATCTATAAAATTGACAGATGTCTATATAAAATGAAGCCTTAATGTGTAAGGTTTTTGTTGTTGTCTGCGAAATGTTAGACCAAAAAATTGGTATATACATATATATGTATGTATATATGTGTATGTGTATGGTATATACTATACTATACGGGACGTCCCTGAAGTGTGCTTTTAGATAGAACCTTTTGTGGATACAACAAATCAAATATTGTATAATAAATATTTGCATGTGCGATAAGCTTGGCCTCCAGCCCCTCTCGCCCTCCCTCTCTCTCTCTCTTTCTGTCTCTGTCTCTGTCTCTGTCTGGCGCAGATTTTCACACCTGTCGCACACACAAACGCTGGCTTATTAATTTGGCATTTGCTGTTGAATTCTGCATGAGAAGCTGGCAAAAATGGTGACAGCGCAAGCGCTGGCTAAGACCGCGCCCCTTCCCCCTTCCCCCTTCCCGCTTCCACCTTCCACCTTGCCACAGAAGAGGGCCCTGATTAGCCGACATTTGTTTAACTGGCATTTAGGCCCTGTTTTCCGACAATTAGCGCGCCGCAATCAAATTGCATTTGGACGGCAATTTTCGAAAACTCATGGCAACTCTGGGCAATTAGCGCGCACTGCAGACAGGTGGCAACTGTGGCCGGCATTTGTTTCTCTGCTTCACTGTTTCTCTGTTTTGTTTTTGTCTTTTTGGTTATATCTTTTGGTTATGTGTTTATGGCCATAACGGTTAACCTTCACCTGGCAGCAGCGGCTCGTTCAATGACCGCCACTGTCATTGCCACAATCCGTCACAAAGCCGACGTTCTGTTATGGTTCGGGCAGCGGAGTGGGGCGGTAGGACCCTACGCTAACTACCACTCCCCCCCCCCCTCCCCCTCCCCTGACCACTCGCACCTGACCAGGGCAGCGCAGCCTGCCTGCTCTTCAACTTGACCCCAATTTGCAGGCTTCAATTCTGCTTATCGCTGCTTCTTCTTCATCTCCTTCTCTCCTTCTTCTTCTTGTTTGTTGTTGTGTGTGTTTTTTTTTTGGGCAAGGACCCGCCCAGTCGCAGCTGGAGGCGGCGTCACGTTGTTGTCTGTGGCCTTTGGCTGGCCGATTAAGATCATTTTGTTAAGTAAGGGGGAAGTGGGTGGGGCGGGGGGTAGGACAGGGGGTACTACACACATCGTTCGGCAATTACACGTCCAAAGTTAACAACTTGGCTTGAAAATAACAAATGTTGGACTGAACTCTTGAAGTTGTCATTGTGGAGCATATTGTGTTGGGGGGGGGTTAGCTAGCTTCTTGCCGCTGACATTTTTATACACTAGCCAGTAAAATGGGCACAAAATTGATAACAATTTTAATTACACTCATTTTATGTACCGAATAAAAAACCAGGGCCGCAAAGCCAAATTTTTGAACAGCGCCAAAAACCAGGGCTGCAAAAGCCAAATTGTCATTGCTTGGGCTCACAGCTGCAGTCGGGTTCGGTTCGTGAACCAGTTGCCACGCGCCTAAAACCAGTTTCTTTTCTAAAATAGATGATATTTACATTTCTTAAATAATTATTAATGAAATATTTATGCAATTGAGAATTGCGCGCCGTTTTTATTGAAAATATTGCACGCCATAAATATTTTCACAAACAAGATGCGAGCTAAATTTGATCTTTATCCAAAAAGTCCCGAAAAATTGTTCCTTATTACAGCAAAACTTTTATTTAGTTAAATTAAATTGAAGATTTATTTATATACTAAACCGCAAAAGGGCAAGTGTATTGTTATTTGTACTCAGCCCGAAGATGACTCGAAATTAGCTGTTGCTTTAGTAGGCTTCAGGGTATACCCTGTAGCACTGCAATTGAGGCATACACGTTTTGTGCAAGTGCGTGTAACAGGCAGAGGGCAATATCTGGACTCCATGTCTTTCCCTTCGTTCATTCGGTGGAAAGTTTGTTAGTAAATCTCACAGTTAGGTAGGAGCTAAATATGTAGAGTATTTCACTTCTTGCATACCCTACTTCTACATTTTTGATGGATTTAGTTTCGTCTATGTGCTTTGGCACATAATCGCAGGTTTGTTGTGCTGAAAATTTCATACAGATCGGACTATAGAGACCGAGGATGGAATGCATTTTGCCATGCTGTGGCTACAGGGTATTTCCTGGTCAGGCATAGTGTTCGTTTTCTTTTTCGATTGGACCAGAAAAACCAGTTACATTGCGCTCGAGAGCTGAAAGCAAGTGAAGGGTTTAGTCGGCTACAGGGTGCGGGGGGCGGTGGGAACAGGTGCAGGGAAGAAGTGTTTGCTTCGGTTTGAGGTTTCAATTTTGTGCTTGCATTAAGGAGCAAAAGTAGCTCCGACTCCGACTTCGTCTGTGATTGATGATCCAAGCGACGACACGCCCACCGACCTTTGGCATAGCCCAACCTACACCTCCCCCTCCCCCCTACCCCCCCTTTGCTGTCAGTGCATTCCATTTAATTGCAGGTGGAACTTGTTTATCGAGGGCTAACAGTAGCTCAGAGCTTGATGGGCCATAAAGTCCGAGCAACAGCTTTGGGGCATGAACTCCAGCTGCCGCCCAACCCCCGCACCCGAACTTAATGTCAGACGCATGTTGGTTGTTTTTTTTTTCTTTTTTAATCGGATGTTGAACTATAAAAAAAAACGCACAAAACAAAAATTGTTCCGACTAGAAGATACTCTGTACGACTGTGCTTCTGCATGCCATTGCATGGGAAATGCATTCCCGATTAACTCGGGAATGGGTGAGATTATCGAAAAAGTGAAATATGCTCAAGCTGTGTGTGCTATACGAAGTTGGGTGTATGTAGGCCCATTGATTCTCGAGCTGAGCAACCCTTTCTCAAAATCGATATATATCGATGCGAGAAGATATCGAAACAAAAACGATAGCATGGGATATATATATATGTATAATTTCAAGCATCAAGCATTTGTAGTTCCAAGATTCAGCTCGTCCTCCCTTGCAAGATCTCCTCTTTGTTTTAGCCCTTCTCAATGGGCCAACGGGGCCAGAGTTGGGGTCCAAAATAGTCCAAATAGATGACGCGACGGGCTCAGGCTCAGGTTAAGCCGCGGTCAATGTACTCGAGGCAGCCGAAAAGCGATCGCCGAGATCGATCGAACTTTGATTTCAATTTCGTTTCATCTTGTGCTTGAGGCCAGAGGCTAGAGAAAAAGGCAAAACAACGGCGCCGGCTCTTTGGCGAGACGCTGACGTAGATCGCCGATCGATCCGCTGGTCTCCGTCGTAGCTGGCTTTTTGTGCCATGAATTTAAAAAGCATTGACATTGAAAATTATGCGAATGGATCCGAAGGGTGACTGCAGCAAATGGTGATCAGCCAGATCGCCAAATCGTACGGGTATGGAAATAGATCGCAATATTGTTATTGAAATATATTCAGTCAGCACAACCACACACACACACATACAAAATGTATCTAAATTAAGCCGCAGATCGTGATCGAGCCACAGCTAGAGTTCAAGCTGCATATCGCACTAAATATTTGGCTATAAATTGAGTTACAGATCGTGGATCAGCATGAAGATCAGATCTGGTTGATGCTTGAACTTTAAAGCAAACCAAAGATCGAGCTCAAGCTTGAATGAATACCTTGTTCTAATCCATTAATCTGCCGATCTAGCCGAAGATCGTGTCACAGCTAAAGCCTGAAGAAGCTTGAAATGTAGCTGAAGATCAAGCTTTAGTTAGCTCTGTAGATTAAGATCCAAATCTAGCTGGGGATTGAACTATGGAACGAGCCGAAGATCACATCACAATCCAAGCCCGATAGATCGGCTCAATAAGTAGCCACGAGCTAGAGATGAATCAACAAATTAAGCCGCCCCTTTTGTAATTGAGTCTAAAGTTCGTGCCGCCGCTGATCATTCTAGAAAACGAGCTGCGGATCGAGATTGCGTCTCTGCGATCAGTTGACATTTGGCTTTTTGGTATTGGGCGAAATTGTGCCTGATAAACCGGAACAGTATTCGAATAGATAGCTAAATGCCTATCAAAAACATTTCGATGGAACAGCTACTGATCTTGTTGCCGATCGGATTACCGAACGCCTTCTCAGTCCCATGTCGCTTGTTATTGTGCCCAATTCCGCGAATTAAGATCGATCGCAGCTCTCGTTGTCTGTCTCCAAATAGATCGCCCACCATATTTTTGCGCACAGACAGTTGACAATTGTTGAACGATCGCTGATTGATCTTCAGGTGCCCCGCTGCCCCCGCTGTCCCCTGAGCCTCATAAATTAGATGCTTATTATACTTAATAAGCGGCTCTCAATATGTCATCATTAATTATTTGTAATAATCCGACGTGACGTGAACTGTACCAAGTTTACGCCTTGGAATTCAATGTCCCTTCCCCCCAAAAAAAAAAGAAGAAAAAAAACGAAGCACAATCGACAGAGAGAACTGTCTGTCGTCGGAGACTTTAACAATAGGTCCACAAGACTTGCACTTTTCAATGGTATTTCTGATGTTTACCTGCTAAAAAATGAGAAAACAAAAAAACAACATATAAAAAATTGATTTGTGCTCATTCAATAAACAAACAAAAATGCCAAAGTCGCCGAAAATAACTCAAAATAACTCTTCAAGACCAAAATGTTAGGCATGAGCGCACCTCGAATACTCTGCACATTTATAAAAGATTTTCCTCTGAAATCTTCATGATGATCTTTCAGTTTTTTTAACTTCATTCGCTATACAACACTGTTTATCCCTCTTAACCCAACACTGTTAACGGACAAAAGCTGATTGCTATAATAACGTTCAAAAGAGCGAGGGCGACAGACAACTGCATGACAAACTACATGACATATCCTCAAGAGAGTCCTGCAGTGACACTCCAGTTGAACTGCACGACTTGTCTCTCATATCTCTAAATGCAATATGCCCCGCTGCTCGGCACTGCAGGGTATCCCTGCTGTTAGCTTGTTAAACATTGCGCACTGTCGCAGATCTATTGACCACCCGCTCGGCTGGCGGGCAAATAAATTCAGTAGCCACTTTGCACAGTTGGCTGTAATTGGAAAGTGGGCGTGGCTGGTCGACCTTGACCTCTCCGAATCGAACACTGGGCCAAGAATTGGTAACAATCGATTGGCCAATTATGACAGCGGCTGCGGCGCATCATTTCGACACAAAGTTGCCGCACCCCCCGTCCCCCGCCCCCAGCCCCACCCGCGCCCCTGTCTTAGCCGTTTGGCAATTGGACGCGCCTTAAAGCTGGCCAAAATCGTAATTAGTTTCCGTTTTGTGTTTTTGTTGTTGTTTGTTTTCCTTTCTGTTGCCAAACTTTGTCTTTTATGTTGCAAATTTTTGTTTGGTTTTGATTTTTATGTCCTATACAAGCCCACTAAGAAGGAGTATCACGACTTTGTATGTAACAGGCGATAGATGCTGTCTCCCCCACTCCCCCTCCCCCTCCCCATCGTCCCTTCGCCCCATAAAGCCATCCCATGATCTCGGCAACAAGAAAAGCTAGAGGCCTCAATTTTCAAATATACATACTTGCATATCAGACGCTTAATAATTTGGTCGCTTGTGGTCAATATCTGCTCCCATTTGTAAAATATCGATAAATATCGATTCGCAGACTTGGTTTCTTGAGCATATCTCGACAACAACAGGAGCTAGAGCTAGAGAATAAAACTGATGTGCACAGACAGAGTCTTACGCTTTTCAGGGCAATATTCATTCCCTGAAAGTTGTATGAATATCGGAATATAAACACCAGAGTTAATCAGGAAAGTATTTGCCATAGTATGGCGTGAGTACATTGAGTACAGGGTATCTGCTGGTCGTGCACTGCACCGTTTGCTTGGCAAACGTCGACTTTTATTTTGCAAATTGTTTTGTTTTCTGCTTTTCATTGATATTGTTTTGATCGCCGCGTTCATCATTTACCGTGGTGCCAGCTGTGCGCCGGTCTCGCTCCAAAAGAGCTGATCACATTTTTCGCACGACTGCGGCCCACTGTGCCGTCGCGCATTGTGCTCGGCGTGAGGTCAACTCTGCGCGCTGATCGGTCCACGAAAATTAGCCAAAATCCAAGCTGCGGGTAAGCCAGCTGCTAATTGGACGCTGAATGTGGGCCACATTCCGTGTCTAAGCCGGCCCTTTAGCCTCAATAACGCGCTCCATAGCTGCTACCAACTATTCTCGGACGCTTAGCGTGGAGCGCGTGTCGTGACACGAACACGCACGAATTGACGTGAGCTGAAATCTTCTTCTTGAAATCTTCAGCAGAGTAGTGCGTGTCGTGCTCGTGTTCGTTAAGCTCCTCGTGCTCATCTCTGCTGCCCGCTCTCTCATACACTCTGACGCTCTCTATGACGTGAGCTGAAGGACTCGACGATCCTCGCTTTACAGGCATATTGAAATCTTCAGCATAGTCGTGCGTGCTCGTGTTCGTGTTCGTCAAGCTTCTCGTGCTCATCTCTGCTGCCTGCTCTCTCACACACTCTGGCGCTCTCTTTGCAGCTGCTTTCGCTCTCGCTCGCTCTCTCTCGCTCTTTGGTGGAAGACGTCATGAAGCCGCCGGCGCTGCCGCTGACATCACTGCTGGTGGCGCTGCTGCTGAGCCAGCGCCCGGCGCCGAGCGCTGGCTCCGCGGTGCTCATCTCGGATATGACCATGACCATGATGGTGGAGCTCTCGTCGCGTCATCCGTTCTGCAAGATGCACACGGATCGGTGAGTGCCGGACAAGACAAATACATATATGCATATTCATATTGGAAACAAATTTTTTGTGCTGCCGCAGGGGCGACATTCAGCGTATGTTGCTGCAGTCGGATCCGCGTCGCATACGGCAGGTGCCGCGCGAGTCTGTCGTGGAGCTGGAGGAGGTGTGCCGGCGTCAGGGCTCCTATGGGCATGAGTTTCGCGGCGGGCTCGGTTTTATATATCCGGGCACAAAGTGGTGCGGTCCGGGCACAGCAGCAACCAGCTACGATGATCTTGGGCAGCATGCACGCGAGGATCGCTGCTGTCGCGAGCACGACATGTGCCCGGATGTGCTCAACGTGGGCGACTGCCGGCGCGGTCTGTGCAATCGCGGTACCTTCACTCGCTCCCATTGCGATTGCGATGCCCGGTTCCGGCGCTGCCTGCAGGCGGCCAACACGGAGACGGCCAACACGCTGGGCGCCATCTTCTACAATGTGGTGCAGGTGACCTGCTTCCAGGAGCGCAGCCCCTGCTCGGCGCACCAAAGGTTCGAGGATTACTTATACGGCAGCCGGCAGCAGTGCCCGGCCGAGTATCGGCAGGCCGATCTCTATGTGCCGCCGCATGCCGATAATCTAATTGCCAAGATTCTAGATCAGCCACATCCGCTGGGACGCGCTCTCGCGCCCTTCGCGCCACCCGCACCACTGCCCCCGCTCAAGCACAATGCACGACGCTTCGGCGTCAAGCTGGCCAGCGTCGGCCTGGCCGCAGTCAACATACTGCGCGAGGTGGTGCAGCGTCCCCGCCTGCTCTGGGACAGCCTCCATGCGCCGGTCAGCCGCGAACTGCCGCCAGGCCGGCCGCCCTCAAGGGGCTACTACTACGAGCGGCCGCGCTATGGCCCCGGCTATGATTACGGCTATGATTACGGCTGGAGCTGAGCTGAGCTGGGCTGAGCTCCGGGCGGCATCTGTGTGCCCGCTCAGTATTAGTAGCTGCAAAGGATTGCCGCACGCAGCGCATAGTCAGCATGTCCAAAGCAATTGCATGTTTTGTCTTAAGTTTTTTGTTGTTATTCATTTTGTTTTTTTTTCTTTCTGGTTTTCATTTGTTTTTCATTATTGCCAATAAATTAAGCACATCTCGAATGCCAATGCTCACCAGCTGCTCGCTGCAGCCATGTATATACCACAGCATCTCTCCATCTCTCTTTCTCTCTCACAGTCTCATGGTCTCTTGTTGTCTCTTCTCACCCAGAGCCGGCTACAATCAGACGGAGCAGGAGGCCATCTGCGCCCAGTGGCAGTATCAGCCCTCGGAGAAGTATGTGCCCAGCCAGCCGCGCACCTCGTAGATGTCGCCATAGCTGACCGTCCTGCAAGTCTACAAATCTACCAAGCAAAGCAATTTAGCTATAGCAATCAGTTTAACCCGAATCCCGATCCAAGCAGCTGTTTACCTGACAAAAAAAACCAAAAACAAAAACAAAACAGAAACCGGTGCCAAAACAAATGGGCTAAAGTGAAGCCGCAGCGCTGAGCGCAGAAAATATATTTTCATATAATATAAACATACAATATACTATATATACATATATGTATATATATATATATATATATTCCAGGATCTGAGTGCGAATAAAATTTCAAGCTTACTTATCAGAAGTTGGCATATTTTAAATTTCCCCGCCAGCCTAAACGTATGCTGCTCTTTTTTTATGTTCCACAATGTGTGCCGAGTTTCTAAGACACAGTGCTACCACAACTGTTTTGGCTAGCACAACCATGTGCACAGTGAACATAAAACCTCTTATGCTGCAGCTTGGTCACAGTTCATTTAAAACCTCAATGATAAGCGCAGCCTGTGCACAGTTTGCATAAAACTTTGATGTGCAGAAAGCAGCGCCACAGTGCCCGCTAAACTGCAAGAACCTAGTTTGAATATATGTATCATTTTTATTGAAGAAATCCCTGTAAATTTAAAAAAAAAACCGACCCGTATCAAAAATAACAATTTTTCAATGATTAGCTTTGAATTTGCATATCTTTAATTCATGCATTTTGCTGTTGTATTACAAATTACAAAATTTGTCATTTTATGTAGATCTTGTATGTGTTGTGTCTGTGTATGTTGTGTGTGTGTGTGTGTGTGTGTGTGTGTGTGTGTTGCGACTTGTGGTTAAATTGATGTAGGCGGCCCACTTATCATAAAATTACAATTGTATGCATATGTGTATAAAAAAACGAAATCCTAAAACAGAACTAAATGGCTGCCCGAAGCGCAGCTGTTTTGCCTGATCCATGCCGCCGGAGCAGGTCCAGAGTCGCGTCTGGTCACAGTTCAAGTGGCAACTAGCTATTGTTGTTGTTGTTGGTGTAGTTCGATTCTGTTAGGCGCGCAGTGCAACAAACTGCTGGAAGACCTCTAGTATGTGTGAGTCCAGATCGGACGTGAAGAGCAGCGTTTCCAGCGTGCTGCTATATTTCTGCACCTGTTCGTGATGCTGTTGGTGAAAGAGTTGCAAGAATTAGGAACGAATATATATATAGGTAAATTGCGTGTGTGCTCGATTTACCATTAGGAACACCTGCTGCAGGCGGCCGATGGTCCAGCGATACCAGTCTGTGTCCGGATCGCGTCCATCTGTGTCCGAGCGCAGCAGATGCTCGGATAGTATCATAATGAAGCGCTGAAAGACGATAAGAAACAGACGCTTCTGATTGACATTGGCTGCCTCCAGCTTCTCCTCCATGCGCTCAACGACCTGTGAATGAATGCGGATGAGGATTGATTAATGGCTTTAAAGGAAAACGAGAACTGAATGAATCTACCTCCTCGGATGGCTTATCGGCATGCGTAATGGGCTTCTTGCGCTTGTGCGGCGTATCCTCATCCGTGTCGCTGGACGATGAATCCGCCTTGGACAGCTTTTCCTTGGCATTGTCCAGCTCGGTATCTGTCCGGGATAACAGACATATGCGTTTAGTGGCAGATGAATCGATCTGCTTTAGCATTTACTCACCCAGTTTAATGACGTGCTTGTTCATCTTCTTGATGGTCAGATGCAATATCTCCCAGAGATACATTTTGGTAAATTCGCCAGTCATCTCCTTGGAGAATATCCATGTGGCCACCGCCGAGCAGTCGACAATTTGCAGCTTGAGCAACTTATCGATGAGTACCACCATCATCTGCTGGTGCGATGACCACAGCTCAAAGATGTTGTGCAATATACAGATTTGTGCCTCCTCCGTTTCGGCCAACGCACGGAATACCACATGGAATTTCGATATGGCCGCAAAGCTGTGCGAAAACGATTTCGAGCCCAAATTGAGCAGCGTTTGGACAAAGACATCGATTTTCAACGCATTGAAACTGCCATCGGACATCTCCTCGCCGCTGTAACCGCTGCTCGGTATCTCCTTCAATATGTTGACCACCTCCTCCGGCGTGCACTTCTGCCGTATGGCGCCGACCAGCTGCAGGGCGACCGTTGTGCCGGGCAGATTGGCTGCGGCGAGAGAGAATCGAAAATGTTTTGTTTGTTTGAATGCAACATCTTCATTAAATGCTTATTACGTGCAGCGTGGCGATGTGGTCAGAGGAGGGGAGGGGGGACCTGGAGCGGGTTAGCTGCTGGCATAGTTGACACTTTCGCTTGCGCCAGTTGCAACTGCGTTTGGTGCGCCGCCGCGTGGAACCAAGCGGCAACAGGCCCAGCGCCTGCCACTGCTGCCGCCTGGTGCGTTACTAATGATGACTACATCGAACCCCCCCCCCCCCCCCCCCTTCCCCACCTCCGCCGTAAGCCCGACTCTGCCTGACAGCAGCCATTACATGCAATTTATTGGCACTTTCGAGTCGATTATGTCAATGAAATGCGCGTCGAGCTCAAGAGGAGCAGGTCGGTTACGGCGGGGACAGGGGAACAGACTTAATTTGAACGCATTAATGCGTCCATTTGGCAAGCCAAATGCGGAACTGCAGCGCGACCCAGTTGCCAAGCACTGTGAGGCCATCAGACAGCCAAGCAAAACAAAGCTCAAGAATGCCATTGTCCAGACAATGGAGCATGTCAAGATCAGCCACCAAAGTTCACACAGAAGCAGCAGCAGCAGCAGCAGCAGCTTGGAATGTTGGCTGAATATCTGCTGAATGAATCGCGCCAACAGCAAAGAACGCTCTAGACGGGATTGCACGACTAGTAGATACCCTAAGCCCAGCGTCGAGCTGTTATTACAAACATTCTAGCTTCCTTCCTTCTGCACATGCATATCTATATCTATTTTATACACATGCATATCTACATATATCTTTATCTATATGTCTAGTGACTTTTCGACTATAGGGTATTCGCCTTAGATTATTAGCATTTGGTTTGACTTGATGCCAAAATATGTATATTTTCACGGATCTTTGGTTTTCAGCTTAAATTGGGCATGTCCAAGGCAGGGCATGGCGCTGAAAAGATCAGGGCGCTGCTCCATCGAGCGCAACGTGTCCAGCTCTGGGGTTGCAGCTGCTCTTCTTCTTTCGCTCTCTGCGGTCTGCCTGGCTGTCAATGCTAAAGTGGCGCAATTAGCGATGAACGCGTGACACGACACCAGTTACTTTCCAGCTGCAACGTTTACGAATATGAAACACAAAGCGAATGCGCAAAACGCACAATTTGCATATCTATGAGCCAGCTGTGTGTGTGTATGTGTGTGTGTGTATCTGATATATTCTAAGTTCTAAGTATAATACTTTTATGACAGTCATGAGAAGCAGCACGGCACAGCAGCTAGGCAAGGCCCCAGAGTTGATTCTTGAAAACCCCATAAAAAATAGATATGAGCTACTTTAAGCTGTTTACCATATGATAAAAAGGGGCACCATGAGATGCATATAACAGACAAAAGGTCGCATCCCATTCAAATATTCTTGCTCAGCAGGCTAAGCAATATATCGACACCTTGTTCCCACTTTACCAAGTTCGATAATTATCGATTTGCAGTTTTTGCATTAACTCGCATATGATAGTAGCTGAAGAGCATGCAGATTCTTATATTGCATACACAGATCAAACCTGTTTCCGGTTTTCGATAACTTTTCTCGCTTTCCAGCAGTCGATAAATATCGATCTTTCGCGTTGGTTTTTCTATCTTATCTCGCAAAGTTATAAGTCCTTAAGCTAGCATACTTTACATACAGCTTGTAGTTTAAGTAAACCTCACTTTTGTTGTCTGTCCCAAAATGGATGTAGATATTTTAATTGATTATCTTAATCTGAGCCTCAGTTCTGAGCTGGAGCCACATCTTGAATCGAGCCTCTTTGCAACTCGTGCATTATTCGCAATTCGCATTCGCATTCATAACTCAACTTTAATCTTTACTCTGCCCAGCTCTATCTTTGGTTAATCTCTTTCCGACTCTTGCCGTTTCCCCAAGTAATACTTTCTCGTCGCGCTGCTTTCTAGCGCGTTTCTCCCTTAAGTCGAAGCTCTTCACTCGCAGCCCAGACTTGTGTTATCGAATTATGTGATCTTTAGCCTCAACAAAATAAAAAAAAAAAAAAACTCGAGACAAGGTGAACTGAAACGCAATCAGAACGACAAAATCGAATGGAATCGCATCTGGATGGTGGCCAGTTCCACTATTGAACTTCAGCGAAGCGAGCAGCATATCTGACAGGGAATCTCAAGCGGTGCGGAGTCGGTCGGAGTGGGTCGGCGTCGGTTGGAGTGGGTCGGAGTGCGGCGCAGCTTGCCAAAAAGCGTTTCGCCAGCTCAGCTCAGTGGGTAGGCGGGGTCGTTTCAGTTAGCTTGGGTTGGGTTGGGTTGGTTTTTTGTGTGGTGGGAGGGAGGCGCTTGGCTTGCTGCTTGAAGCGGGTCCAAACATCCGCAACTGTTGCATAAAAGCGCGTCAGCCGTGCAACCACCCGCACCACCTGCTGCTGCTACTGCTGCTGCTGTTAGAAACGCGGCCGTTGCCAAAGATTGCGAAACTGCCGCTGCTGGCGATGCGCCGCTTGGCTGCTCCAACGAAAGCAGCAGACGTAGCCAGAGCCAGCGGCGGCGTCGGCGGCGGCGGCATCATTTGGTGGTTTACCCGTCTGTCGTTGGGTTTTTATTATTAGCGGTGCGCACGTCGCGAACGCCTTTCAGTCAAGCTGAAGCGCGCGCGCGGCACAAACGTCCAAAGAATTGGCCAAAAAGACGAGCTGTCAACGATTCATTTGTGGTTATCTATTTTTTTTTTTTTCGTTACATATATATTTTTTTTTTGATGTGAAAATGTGGCATATACCTTGCCTGGTGTGCATACTATTCTTGGCAATCGTAAGTGCTGCAGAACTGTGCCTCCGTTTGGTGGGCTTCAAAACAAACGGACCGATACAGAAGGTCAAATCAAGTCGGGGGTCAAGTCAAGCCCGTGTCCCAGCTGTTACGCTGTGGCCCATAGCTTCTTTAAGCCTGAGATGTTGCCGGCAGGAGCTTATTCTGCTCGAGGAGAGTCTGGACAAAGCTAGAACCATACTTCGGCTACAAACAGCCAAACTATATCCGCGGCTTGGACTACTGCCAAAACTGGCCCATATTGAGCTTGGCCTGATTGGCGGCAGTATTGTGGTGCCCATGGTTTAATGCCCTGCTCTTGCTGTCTTGCCGTACCTGTGACAGATGCTGCCTGTCGCCTGGGGCAAAGAGTAGGCTAGGCTTAACCCACAGACAGTTTACCAGAGTGTGCCTTGGTTCTGTTTCGGCTTCCTCCACAAGCTAGATACTTGCAGTCTAGACTCTATAAGAAGCGTGCTATAAGCCGAGAGAGAGAGAGAGAGGTCCAGCTGCCGCGCATGCCTCGCCTTTTGCGTCACCAGGCGCAGAATGGCCCAGGTCGCAGCAGGAGCAGCAGGCTGAGCAGGATCCGTTTTAGAGTGCTGAAGTTGATACTGATAGCCACTGTGGTTAATTGCAGCAGCTGGCGCCGATGTCGGCCATTGTGGGCGCTGGACGGGATCTGGTGCTGACGCCCAAGCAGTCGCTGCAATCGAGCGGCAAGCGAATCTACTACGAGGAGCAGCCAACGGAGGCTGTGGTGCGCAGCTGGGAGCGCACCTTGAAGCATGTGACCTATGTGACGCTGTTCACGGACGCCGCCGTCGGCGCCGCCGCTGGCAATCTCAGGTAGGTAGGTTGTCCTGGCCAGCTATATGGATGACACTAAAGCGCCTGTGTGCGGCGGCGGCAGCAGCCAGCTGCATGACTATCACAACTTTTTGCAGACGCCGTACATGCCGCTGGCCGTTGCCCAGCCGCAGCTAGGCCCGGCCCGGTTTGGGGATATTGTGACGCTCGCCAGCGGTCGGCTGGAGCAGTTCTCGGCCAATGGCAGCTATCGGTTTGTCGAGGGCAGCACGGATGCCCAACAGATGGCAACGGCGGGCATCCAGACACGCGCCCTGTGGCGCGTGCAGCGCATCCGGCATCGGGATGGCGGCATTGGCCAGAGTTTGCCCCAACGCTTCCATTACGAGCTGAAGTTCAGCGTATCGCCGCTGGCGGCAAGCATTGGCTGGCCGCCGCAGAGCTACATCCAAAAGGAGTCCGACTATCCGCAGAGCTTTGGCCGACAGGTCTACGAGCAGAAGCGTGAACAGGAGCTCGCCCAGCGACGTCAGGATCGGCAACCGCAGGCGACATTTATGCATGGCATATTTCAGCCGCCGCCGCCACCGCCGCCGTTGCCACCGTTGCTGCCGCCCAATCTCAACATTGGTGAGTATCTGAAGCAGGGCATACCCAAGGGTACGCCCAAGATTGAACAGTATCCGGGCCTATATAATCTGGGCTTGCGTCCCAACTTCATACCGGCGACAACATTTCGACCCGGCGGCTATCCGGTCAAGTTTGGTCCACGGCCGGAGCTGCCCGCTCCCCCGGAGCCTTACCCCTTGCCCAACGAACTGGGCAGCGGCGGCGGCCCCGCTAATGCCGCTTCCGTGCCAGCCAATCCGACAGTCACCCATCATTTCCATCATCACTTCTACATGACGCCCAATGGCCTGGTTGATGGAGGCGTCGGCAGCGGCGGCAACCACGCTGAGCTGGGCTATCGTCCACCCGCTTACGTGGCGGAACTGTCCACCCCAGCGCCACCCACAAGGCCGCCCTATCGACATAGTTATCCAGAACATTATTATGAATCGCATCGTGAGCTGCAATTGCCGACAAACCGCGAACCAGCTTCTGCGGAATCCCTGGAGCCCGGCGAGGATGAGCATCAGGAACAGGAACAGCATCCTCAAATCTATACAGGTGAGCTCTACATATATGGCTATACATGAGCACACGAATATAGTTGTTTGTATGAGCTCCAACAAGCAGAGTGCGCCTGACTAGCAGATACCCTAAGCCCAGCTGCAATCCTCTAGCTTCCAACCATGTAGGGTATATGCATTCCCGGTGTATAAAGTTTAATCTCTGACATTTCCAGCGATAGGCTTTATGTTTGAACATTTTGGGGAGAGTGGGACGCGAGAGACATCCAAAAAGTGGAATATTATTAATCTGTACACACGAAATATCAAGTTTAGCTCAAAGCTCGAAATCCATATATATATCGATCAAAATAAAAGAGATGCCGATATGTGGTAGTATTATATACTAGCTGCCCGGCGTTTGGTGAACGCGTGGAGAGTTGAAATCCTCACGAACTATCTAGATCTCATCTTCAATTTAAAAATATGTTTAAAGTGCATCGAATAAGGAACCAAGTTTTTTGCCAAATTTCCATAAATCGAAATTAGTTTGAAGCAAATCCAACAAAACTTAAAAAAATCTTTGAATCGTATTTTCCACCGAACAAGCTTGGATTTTGCGTCTCGAATGATTTATCATATAGATCTTTGAAAATGAATTTAAGCGCGAAACGTCAACGTCACGAAATCTTTGACCCCTATTTCCACCAAGGAGGAATGCATTTTTGACAAGTGTACAACAGTGGAAATTTCAGCTACCTATCTCTTATGGTTCGGGCTGTGCGTTGATCATCAATCAGTCAACCAGTCAATCAGTCAATCAGTCAGTCAGTCTATGTAGAGATATGAGAGATATATGACTGGAATTGCTGCTGGTTTCTGATTACACGCACCAGACATTAAAGATTCTGAATAAAGATCAACCTAGCTCGCATTCCAAGCAAGCAGTCAGTCAATCAGTCAATCAGTCAGTCAGTCAGTCAATCAGTCGGTAGGTCCGGACAAACAGTTTTATATATAGAGATATATATATTTTCTCAGAGAGTTGTCCCTCTATGACAGTTTCTATAGGATTCACAGCTGCCCAAATCAGCGGGATTAGCTAAGATTCTGAGTATCTCATTCTCTCATTATGGCATTGTAATCTTGGTTTGGATCTTTAATGTGCATAAGCAGGTTACGAGAAGGCATCCAAACACGACACGTCCACGCTGGCACCGCTGTTAATCTATGCCGGCGCCGCGGCAGATGCTGAGGAGGAGCAAAAGTCATTTGTGCAGAGCGAGCCGCTGGAGGAGACCGTCTACCGCTACTCCGAGCCGGATCCGCTTTATGTGCATCAGCATCCGGTCGATATACTACAGCTGGAGTCGCCGCACAGCTATGAATCCGATGAACCACTGCTTCAGCGGCGGCAGCAGCAGCAGCAGCAACACCCAGGGCAGTTGGAGCGCGGCACTTCAAGCGAGCAACAGGAGGACGGGACGGAGGACGAGGAGACGGCAGAGCTGCCCAGCATACAGACCGAACAGCGACCCGCTGGCAGTCAAAAACAAGCCAAACTGGCCACCACAGCAGCACCAGTGTCCAGCACAGGCACAGAGAACGCAACAGCAACAACAGCAGCAGCAGCAACAACAACAACAACAACAACAGCAGCAACAACAACAACAAGCACTTCAATGGCACCACCGAGAGCAGCGGCCACAAGCCGAGCAAGCTTTGTGTCCACCTCGACCAGCATTACGCCGCTGCGCGCTTTAAGTCGCTATCGGACAACGCCGCGCATCACCGCAGGCAGATCGACAACAACAACAACAACAACAACCACGGAGCAGCCGGCAATAGCCAAGTGGAAGCAGCGCCGCAAGGAGAATGCCACCAGCATGGACAGCCGGGCTAAGAGCAGTCATCGCCACGAGTCCAAGGTGGCATTTGTGCCCACGACAGCAGCCACAGCAGCAACAACAACAACAATAGCACCGACAACAACAGCACCGACAACAACAACATCTTCGCCTGCAGTCAACAGCTCGGCATTGCCGGCAGGTGAAATCATCGAGGTGCTCACCCAGAAATCGGTTAGCAAGTCCGTCAGCATCAAGGTAGGCGAGAACGGCGAGGAGATACCCATCATTGTGGACGATGATGAGAACGAGGTGAAGAAAAGCTAAATGCCCCAAAAATGCAATTGACTAATCCTAAACTTAAGCGTAACAAAAATGGTAAATAAACTGAAAACGAAGCAGGAACAGGAGCAGGAGGAGGAGAAAGAGGAGCTGACCAAATCATGAGAGTTTTCAGTTATTTTCATGTTAAGTATTTTCTAGAATTTGTAGCATTCGAATAAATATGATTTGATTCAAATTAAAAACTAGCTTGCAGGAGGAGAAGCTAGAGAATATATTGGTATTTGGTACTCACCAGCCTCCTCGCTTGTGTACTTGTAGTTAGGCACGGGCATGACCGGGATCAGTTTCGCATACGTTGTGGGCATCATTTCGGTAATGCGCTGATGATAGGACAGTCTGTAAGCGAGAGAAAGGAGTTTTATCTAAGTGAACACTAGGCTTTGGGGCATTAATCGTACCGTAGGCACTTCTGGAGCACCTCCTGTATGAACTTGGGACGCGGATGCTCGGCATCGAGCAGCAGGCAGCTGTCCCATTCGTCCCAGGACCAGGTGAACTTAAAGTTGCTCAAATGGTAGCTAAACCAGTTGACGAAGCGATCGAAGCACGACGTGTTCATGGAATCGATGCGCATGAACAGTATCTCAGTTGCCTGGGCGAGCACCTGGGGCAATGTGCCCGGCTGCAGTTTGCACAGCTCGATTAGAATGGAGCCATAGCAAATGTCCAGATAGCGAGGCGTGGGCATATGAAAGAGCTCCGCAAAGATAACCTCGACGATGCAGTATTCTAATGGGATCTTGTGCTTGAACGGAAAGTTCAGCAGCTGTGCAGCGCAATCTTTACGCTCATGATGATGCGTCTCAATGATGTGATGCAGATGTTCCTCGATGAGAAAACGCTCGATCGAATGGGCACCCGGCAGGTTCGGTCCGTCAGGGCAATCGGTGTAGTCGAACATGCGGTAGACAACCCATGGCATGGGATACTCAATGGCGTCATGGTGTGGCGGCGGTGTTATCTGCGGCAAATTGTGCTGCAGTGCCTCGCACAGAATGGCGTCAAAGACGAGATACGGACGCGGTATATGCTTCTCGGCCCAGTTGTCCTGGCGCAGCTTGCGTATCTGTGCCCACAGGCAGTCCAGGTACTCCTCCTGCGGATGTGGCGCATCCGATGACCAGACACGCAGCGCATTATGATGCTTCTTCGAGCGCTTATTTAAATACACCTCAATGCGCAGCAGCAGCGACTCCAGTGCTGACTCCTTCTTCTCGTACAAATCACGCCCCACCCACGGCAACGTGGAGAGCACCGCAAACACAAACCAATCGCGTCGCACTTGCGGCACAGTATCCTCGTTGGACACATCGATTATTGTGTCGAGCAGCTGCAGCAGACTTGTGGCCGAGATGACGTGACAGTTGACCAGATCGGCCAGAAAGCGTAGCGAGTAGCGGGCCGCATCCCAGCGGCACAGTTTCAGCGACTCCTTAAACGTTTTCACCATGTAATCGACAAACTCGCCACCGAATTTATAGTTCTTGGCATTAAGTAGACCCACTAGGGTCGTGTAGACGGTACATTTTTCGGGCATGCGCACCGCACAGTCGGACAGAATGCGCAAGATCTTCAAACGGAATGTGCCCAGATCGGCTTCCAGCACGGAGACAAGACCCTCGAGATTCGACTCCACCGACGAGGTGCTGCGCTCGCCCACGCGCAATATCAAGGACTCCAAACGATCCTCAATCTCCTGGTTCTCTGAGACGCGGCGGCGCTTGTTGCGTCTGTGGTCTATGGCACAAATCAAATGGTCATAAAGTTATTATTTATTATTTTATATGAAAATTAATACTTAGCTCACCATAACTCTCATCCTCGGTATCGTGTGCACGTCGGCGACTCATTTTTAAAGCACCTCCAACAAATTGCAATAAATGCAACAAACTAAATTAGCAGCACGTCGCACAGCAACAACAACAACAAAAAAAAAGCGGCGTTTTTTTCCTTATTTTTTATTTTGTGGCAACCGGCACAATTAAAACCCCAAGTTGCGGCTGCTGCGTATGCAAACTGTTGTCGCAGCTGGAACTTGTTGCGTGTCGAGTTTAAGTGTGCGACGAAATTTACGTCAAATCAGTTCAATTTAAGCGCAAACTTTAAAGAAAAAAATTTTATTTTCGAGCATGAGCTTCTGCATTTCACTGTGTCAATGCTCAATGTGACCAACCGCACATTAAACATTACAAAAGAACTTTTCAATACAAAAATACCAAAACTATCAACGATACCATTATTTACTCCGAACGCACAGCACTGAAAATAGTCGAAAAATAAAATAAATAATCGATAATTTCAAATCAGTCTTAAGGAAAATTTAACTTGGGCCATAACGATATTCCAATGGCTCAGAAAATTGACTTAAAACCTATTGATTTTAGGAATTTATGTGTTATTAGCAGCCAAGTACTTAAGTACTTGTCTAATTGTACATACACTTCTAGGTGCACCTTACTGCAACTATATATCATATTTTTGAATTGGTTTACTAAAATTATTATGAGTAGATCTCATGTTAATAGTGCTGCTTATCATCGTTGTACAGTACATTTTGAAAAATAACATAATTTTTTTCTGAATCAAATTAACAACAATAGAATTGTGTCAAGAAATATGCCACTAAAATATCAGAAATATTTATCTATAAATATAAATTCATAACTAACTGAAAAATATTCAATGTGATGGCAATGGTATTGATACCATGGAAAGCATTGAAATATTTTGTCAGTTAACTCCGAGTTTAACCGATTTTGCTTTCACCATAGGTCGTAGAGTGACCAGCCTTGAGTCAACAGGGAGAGCAGAGAAACCCACATAAAATACTGTCGATAAATGGCGAAAATCGATATTGTTATCGAAGTGAACTGCTGCCAATTGTTGAGGCTTACCTTTAGATTGGTTTTCTTTTTTTTTTTTGTATAAATTTTTTGCGAACGCACACGCAATAGTTTAATGAAACGCAATTGAAATTCGGGTGTGCTGGTGCAAATGGATCAGTTCTCGCACGACTTGACCCTCGCCCTGGAGGAGACGTCGCTGATGGACAGGGCGTGCGGCGTTGGTAGGTGGGGCTCGCGTCGAAGAACTCGATCAACGGGTAATTTGCGTAAGTATTTGAGCCAAGATATTGGCCATATTCAGCACGCCCCCCTCCCACAGTGCTGGTGGGCAAATTGACAGCATGAAAACCACTTTGCTTCCACTTCACTGCACTTCACCTGCAGCTTGTGCGCCGCAACCAACCGAAGATTCGTCGAGCAGCCCCACAGACACCATGAATAATGCGCACGGACATGGACACGGCCACCACCCGAATACCAATGCAAACATCGATGGACTAGATACACACACACACAACGATATGATGCTGCCTGCGAGCGATTCGGATGACAAGGCCGAGGCAATGCTGCCGCTGCGTCTGCCCGGCAAGATGCTCAATGCGGCCGCAGCTGTTCGCATGGGCATGGGCGCCCTCGAGTCGGACTCGTTGAACGAGACCAATTTCAGTCCAGCTCGGTGAGTAGGGGGCGTGTCCCCCTAGTCAGAGGCAAATCTAATACGCTTCGTTTTTAGGTTCTACAAGCCGAACTCGCGTAGGAAACGAAAGATCAAACGCATGTCAATGGAGTTTGAATTCAGCAAGGATTGCAATCTGGCTGTGTCTCCACACAGCTTTACGGAGTCGCCACTGCATCCGGGCATGCTGGGCGGCTGTGCCGGTAGCATGACCGGCACGGGCACTGTACGAAAACGTGTACTGAAGATGGACAGTGGCAATCGTTCGAATTTGTTTTTTTGCGGTAAACGTAAACGCTCTAATCGTGATCGCTATCACGAACATGATCAGGAGGCTGGCGTTCCGTTTGGCGGCGGGGGCTGCAGCGGCGAGGGCGGTAGTGGTTCTAGCAAATTGCATTCCTCGAGCATGCCGCGCTATACGCACATCGAGGAGTACCATCGCATGCGGCCCCGCAGCTATTCATCGACATCGAAGCCACACAGCGATCGTCTGCTGCCGCTCAACAAGGGGCTGCTGTCGAAGATAAATCGTATTGCGCAAACCCAAACGGAAACGCAACGAGCACAAAAGACTGACAACACATCGAACATGGAAGAGGAGGGTCTGGAGCACGAGCAGGCGGAAACACAGCCACAAACGGCAGCAGCCAATCCTCATTTGGAGCTGGTTGAGAGTGCAGCCAGCACCGCTGGCCTTGGTGTCTTTAGCATGGAAACGCTTGTGCCTGTCAGCGATATTGAGACGCTGTTAAATACTTCGGATAAGCTGCCGCTGCAGCTATCTTTGGACTGCGCTGTTGCGGACTATCATGCCCATCGCCAGAAATCGCATTATGGTCATATGCATGGCAGCGGCTCCACGAAGGCGCATCGCAGACGCCGCTTTTGCCAAACACCGCAACCGCTGCAGGTGCAGTCGATGGACTGCACCGAGCTGTATGACTTTTTTAGCTCCAGTTCGCTGAGCTCCTCCTCGGACAGCGAGGATGGCCATCGGCTTCACGATACGGATCGCGAGGGCGACGACGAGCTAACCGATTGGCCCGGCAATGAGATTGGTCCCGGCGGCAAATATGATCCCAAGCGCAAGCTGACCAAGAAATCGCTGCTGCCCCAAATACGCTCCGATGATACCATTGGCGAGGATGATACGCTTATGTCCGGCACGGAGGCGACAGCGACAATGACTTTTGCTGACAGCTACGGTGGCGTCGGCGGCGGCACCTCACAGTCCCCTCCCCAAACGGATGCTTTGCAAGATTTGACACGCTTTCAACCGGCCGCCAGCTCGGAGCCGATTGAGATCTGTGGCGGCGGCGCCAATCGTGGCAATCGCAGCGTTGGCTTCATTGGCGTCAACATCTGCCTTGACACGGAGACGAGCATGAACGGCATGCCGGCGCTAAAGCAGATCGAAAGCGAGATGTCCGGCGAGACATCAAATCCATTCCTGTCGTCATCGCCGCCCATGCAGATACAGGAGGTGCGCGAAATACGCGCCGGCTGCCGGCGCATCAATGGCGATCGTCCAGGTTTCAGCATTAAGCTAAGCGTTAACGAGCGCCTGGCACGCTTTCTACAGGATTCCCGCCAGACCCAAATCCGTTTGCCCGACATTGAGATCTACGAGCAGGATAGCCTGCTCAATTTGGCCACGCTCTACTCCCTCAACATGCTTGTGGAGAACGGCTGCACGGTGCTAACCAAGACAAGGTAAGTGAAACCGTGGATTAGCAACCACCTCCCAACCCAACAAACCACACGAACTAAGCTGCCAATCTCTTGCGCACAGAAATACAACGCAATCGTCAAACATTGATCCGCAGCACGGCCTGCAGCAGCGCCCTGATTTGTTGAGCGATTTCAAGCGGCGCTGCTACGGCGGAAACGGTGACAACACCAACACTCCGGTCGCCAGCGATGCCTTCAATCCTGCTACAGCTGCCACACCAGCCGGCGTTGCCGCCGAGCTGCTGCCGAAGAAGTGAAGTTATAAAATCAAAACTGAATTTAATACAATTACCAGACCAAGGCGAAAATCACGTCGCTCGGCAAGCGACAACTGGAAACCACAAGGTGCTCCAAACTGAAGGCTGCTCACATTTTGTGCTGGGCACCTGTGCAGCTCGTTTTAGCCAATTTATTAAGCTTTTAATGCGTTTCGTATAGTGTCGAGTTTTGTCTGTACATCGGTCTATGTATATAACTATTATAAATACTAGATATATGTATATATATACATTTATATATATATATATATATATATATATATATATATATATATATATTTATTATGTAATCTGAATAAGGGAACAGCGCATGGCACAATCAACTAGCCGAATTCATTTTTTAAAGCTTGCATTTTGCGTTTGCCCTCAGCTGACATTCAGCCGTAAAAATGACTAGGGCAATGCTCTGCAGAGCGAGACAGCATACACAGAAAGAGATAGACAGACGAACAGAGCGAGAGAGAGAGCTGTATGCACAGCAAGAAAGAAAGAGCGCGAGCGACAGAGACAGAGTCAGAGAGAAAGATGTTGAGACTTGAAATGTTTGCCTGTTGGTTTGTTTGTTTGTTGTAAATTATGTGTGTTTCCGCCAGGCATCATGCACTGGTTCCACTGTACAAAACATTATTATTATTATAATTATTATTTGAAACCTGTATCCATAAAACTTAATGCAATTTTGATTATAAGACAATATGTGCACATAGCTAACGTGTATTTTGTATGGAGCTAAATATGTACCAAGTACTGCATAAAATTTGTAAAGTATATATAGCAAATGCATATCCAGAGATTTAAATTTTAGTCATCTCATCAACATGCGTTTTTTTTTTCTTTTTTTTTGTATCCCAAAAACTGTTAATATCAATTTATTTTCTTTTTTTTTTGGCAGTGTGTCCATCAAGCCGGGCTACTTTATTTTTGTTTTAAAGTATCTCTCATTCCTTTAAAAAAAAAACTAAAAAGTACTCCGAGTTCTAATTAAAAAATATGCATTAATATATATATATTTTACTGAACACTTTTTGTGTAAATGTCAAATTTTCCGTTTGTCGCCTCAATTCTAATCTGTTGAAATCGTATTAAATATCAACAATATTCATTACACATTTCCTTTATTCCTTTTATACCGTTAACAAGCTTGAAATGCAATTAAAAAACTAATTCATATTTAGATGTATGTATATATTTTACTGAATAGTTCTGGCCTTATTTACTTTTCAAGTGCCGTGCTGTATATGCAGCTTTTTTAATTGATATTATTACACTTTATACATTTTGTACGTCGAATTCTCATATCAATCAGACAGATGAGCGATAACTGATAAATGACAAACGATAATGGCGCCATGATTTGAATGAACTCCGACACAGGACAGCTAAACATTTTGCTTGGGGCCGAATGAGGCGCATGCGCATGGCCGTTGGTCCCGCTGGGTTGCCAGACGCGGCGGGCAGCAGCAGCGGCAGCCGCATTGCGAAACTTTGGCAACCCTTAAAGCACGCTTGTCGTTCTTTTTGTTTCCTTTGGTTTTTTTTTTTGGTTGCGCTCGCCGCTCTGAACTTACCGGGGGTCAGATCGACGGCAGAAACGCGTTGCCTTGTTGTGTCGTCGGTTGTGTTGGCAACGTCTCCGTCTTGGTTTGGTGGACACGGGGGTGGGGGAGTAACTGGACAAGTTGCGGGGCATGCAAAAGTGTTTTTTGCCGAAAAATCAAAACGAGAGCATAACTAAAAATAAAAGAAAACGCGACTTGAGGGCTGACAACCGAAAACAATTGCAAAATACTTTGCGGAAACTAACGGTAATTTGTGTGCTCATTCGAGCTGTGTGAGTGCGCGTATATGTGCGTGTGCGTGTGTGTGTCGCGTAATCTCCGTGTATGTGTAATAGCTACACGTGAGAAGGCGGCGTCCAACCAAGGAGAGATTTATGAGACGCGCGACGGCTGCTTATTGATTTTTCTATGCTGCATACGAAAACACACACACACGCGCACCCATTCACACACACACACTCACACACATGTGTGTGTGTGCTCGTGTGCGTGCCTGTGAGCTAATCTCTTATCAGAGTATAGAAATTTGCGAACTTGTTTTCGTTTTATTTTTTTTTGTTATTAATTTTTTTCACTGTTGTCAATTGTCGTCGCAGGCAGCGTGCGCTGCAATGGAGGAGCGCGCATTGAGGCGTCTATAGGGGTGGCCATAGTCAAAGCCACAGCCACAGCCAGTGCCAGTTGCATGCGCCGGGAGCATGAACAGCAGCCGCAGCTGCAACGTTTGAACCCGTGCCGCAGCCTGGCCAAGTCGGAATATGAGCGCATGTGAGGCTAAGGCGAAGGAGCCAGGAGGAGCAACGGGCGCAGTAGCAACGCCGTGCAAAGAGGAGCCGGCGGCGAGTGCCACGGAATCGCCACTGGCCAATGGACATGACCGTGAACTGGAGACGCTAGCAACGAATTCGAATGGCCCGGAGCCGTCCAATGATAAGGCGCACGATGCGGAGTCGGTTTTGGCAAGCACACGGAGCGTGATGGATGCGGTGGCAACGCCCTCCATAGATGCGCTGGCCAGCTGCAAGGATGTGCTCTTGGCGCAAAAGCTATTCGCCAGCGGCGGCAGCGGTCCCAAGGAGCTGCTCAAGCTGAAGGAGCCGATGCGCGTCGGCTTCTACGATATCGAACGGACCATTGGCAAGGGTAATTTTGCCGTGGTGAAGCTGGCGCGGCATCGCATAACCAAAAACGAGGTGGCCATCAAGATCATCGATAAATCACAGCTGGATCATACAAATCTGCAGAAGGTCTATCGCGAGGTGGAGATCATGAAGAAGCTCAAGCATCCGCACATCATCAAGCTCTATCAGGTGAGTAAGCCGCCAGCTCCGGCTACAACGTGATCTAATCCTCTGATCATTTGCTTTTCAGGTGATGGAAACAAAGAACATGATTTACATTGTCTCCGAATATGCCAGCCAGGGCGAGATCTTTGGTAAGCTTCTCCTAGTGAAATCTGGAGCATCGTTCAACAAAAATAAAACGGCAACTCTTGCTTCCAGATTACATTGCCAAGTATGGACGCATGTCGGAGTCGGCGGCGCGCTTTAAATTCTGGCAAATCATTTCCGCCGTGGAGTATTGCCACAAGAAGGGCATTGTGCATCGTGATCTGAAGGCGGAGAATCTGCTGCTGGACTTTGGCATGAACATTAAAATTGCCGATTTTGGTTTCTCCAATCATTTCAAGCCCGGCGAATTGCTGGCCACCTGGTGCGGCTCCCCGCCCTATGCCGCGCCCGAGGTATTCGAGGGCAAACAATACACTGGACCCGAAATTGATATTTGGGTAAGTAAATATGCACATTGAATCGCACTACATGCTAATCTCCCTTATCGCTTTCAGTCCCTGGGTGTGGTGCTCTATGTGCTGGTCTGCGGTGCTCTGCCCTTTGATGGGTCCACGCTGCAGAGCCTGCGGGATCGTGTGCTGTCGGGCCGCTTTCGCATACCCTTCTTCATGAGCTCGGAGTGCGAGCATTTGATACGCCGGATGCTGGTGCTTGAGCCAACGCGTCGCTATACCATCGAGCAGATCAAGCGGCATCGCTGGATGTGCCCCGAGCTACTGGAGCATGCGCTGATTGCCAAATATAATATGAGTGTGGAACGGCAGGCGGTGCTGGAGCCCAGTGAGGATATATTGCGGATCATGTCCGAGTATGTGGGCATTGGGCCGGATAAGACACGCGCCAGCCTAAAGAAGAACACCTACGATCATGTGGCCGCCATCTATCTGCTGCTGCAGGATCGCGTCTCACACAAGAAGGAGCAGGCGAAGCCAAATGAAACTAGCGGCTCCGCCAGCCGCCTACTCTACAAGAGCAGCAAGCAGTCCTTGATGCTGGACCAGCTGCCCACGCAGCAACTGTTGCAGCTGCAACAGCAACAGCAGCAGCAAACGAAGACAATATCCACCGTGATCCTGGCCAAGGATCCGACACACAAAAGACTTAGCCGCCATCAGACTGTTTTGATGAGCGAGCGACCCACTGCCGATCCCTACTATGCGGTCAAACAGCAGGCCCACGCCCAAGCCCAAGCCCATGCTCATGCTCATGCGCACGCTCGTTACTTGAACGGGGTTGATGGCATGGTCCCGGTTCCGGCTCCGGTTACGGGCATGCCCATGCCCACTAGATATACACCACTGTCGGCGGGCAACAGCTGCGCCGTCTCCACGCGCATCAGCCACCAGAGCCTGAGCTCGCCGCGCACCATGGCCGCCGGCCAGCGACCCGTTGCCATCTCGCTCAGCATTGACAATAATAGCAGCAGCCATCCGCTGCCCTCGCTGGCCAATTTGCGGTGTCGCGAGCTGCTCCTGAATGCCAGCCAGCAGCTGGAGCAGTCTGGCCATCCGGCCGGGCATCTGTCGTCGCCGGTGCCCAAGCAGCTGCATCAGACCATTAGCGAGTATATCATTAAGCAAAGCACCGAGGATTGTCGCCAGCTGCTGCAGCAGGTGAGTCCATGTCGCTGCTATTGGTCCAATCGAATCCAATCCAATCCAATCCAATCTTGCGATCTCTTGCAGTCCACGGCCATTGCCGATACGAAGAAGGGGGACGATCAGCTGCCAGCGACAATCGAAAATTCGTGCGCTGCCACGCCCACTGCCGAACTAAACAAGACAATAAAGCCGATGTCCAGCTCGAATAGCTTCGATTCCACCGCCAATCTCAATCAGAGCTTTCGCTATAAAATGTCCGCCGAGGCGAACCGACTATTCCAGACCCTGCAAGAGAGTCCACTGCCCATTGAGGTGTGTACAATCGGTCCAGCTTATTATATGGTTAACTCGCACCATGATAGAAATGTTAATTATATATTCTATTTAAAAACGACCTCCATGGTCACTTTATTGTTGTACTCATGCATCCAGCACATGCCCTGCTGCAGCTAATCATCGCATGCGTTTAACCTCGAAGCGTGTCCTTCAAATTGCATTCAAATCCCATCCTGCTTCGTTAACCAACGAGCACACGAGCGTCCTCCATGTTCAGTTCGTGTTCTTTCTTAAATATAAGTTGGCTTTGCATATGCTCATACTGACTTCATCCTCGCTTAATGCCCACAAACCCGGATGCAATTCATCTACTGCAATTGGTGATAACTCCATAGGCACATCCTTTGTGGTTTCCTTTGTGCTCAGCTTTTATGAGCATCCACTTAGTACATATATCCAAATAGTTTTCAACTGCAATACTTCATTGAGCACGTCCTCCATGGTCACATCCATATATATAATCCATCCATACATATAATCTAGATGCTAGTTGTGTAAGCGCCAAATCCTCAACCAAATACATTTAAGCGTATGTAGACACGTATGTATAGGTCGTCTATGGTCATTTTTTTTGGTTGCACTTCATACGTCCTCCATGTTCAGATAATTTACTAATTGGACTCTTTCCCGAGGCAGAAACCAAAGCGCAAGGCCCCAACCACAAATGGCAATAGCAATGGCAACGCCAGCGATGCTGGCCGCAATTCGGAGGAGTCTGGACAGGATTCGAAGCCAAATGGTGACGGGTAAGATGATCCGATCCGTTAGGGCCAGCCGAAACTAACGAAGAGTTGTTGTTGTTGTTGTTGTTGCTGCAGGCGTGAGAAAAAGACTTTTGAGAAGAAGGTGCTGGCCCAGGGCAGCTCCAGCACGGACGAGGGCTGCGACACGGATCAGGGCAACGAGGTGGCCAAAGAGGGCTCCCAATCGTCAACGGATCTGACCAGCGTACAGGCGACACGAACACGCTCCTATGCGAGCAGCAGCAGCTCCAGCGGCGTACTGGCCGGCAGCTATTCGAAGAGCCTCAGCCAGAACCTGAGCCGCGGCTCATCCAAGAGCAACTGCAGCGCCTATGAGAGTCTGGACTTTGTGCTGCCCTCCGTGCCGGACATTGCCGGCAGTTTGCCCTCCTGCATGAGCAATTCAATGCTGGCCGCTGCCGCGGCAGCTGCAGCAGCAGCAGCCGCCATTTCCCATGAGCACGCGTCGGAGCGTTTACTGTACAGCAGCCACAACTCGTGTATCCACATGCCCAGCGCAGTGAATCCGCCGCCGCCACCGCCGCCGCCGGCGCCGGCGCCACCCAACCAGTCGCCGGCGCCGCCGCCCTTCGCGGACAAGCGTTCGCCCATACATTTCCGTGAGGGCCGCCGCGCCAGCGACGGCCTGGTGGCCCAGGGCCTGCTCAGCTCCAGCTCGCTGCTGGGCGCCAGTCGCGTCTATGGCAGCTATCGCTACGAGCAGGCCAAGCGCCACGGCTGGCTAGAGATACAGCAGCTGCAGCAGGAGGCGGCTGTGTATGCCACGCCTGGCCATGGCCATGGTCATGCTCATCTCGGACTGGAGGAGCTCAGCCTGGCCAATTGTCAATTTCCACACGGTCAATTCTATGCAATGCCCATCAAGCCGCACCACACGCTGCACCACCTGCAGACCCAGAACCACCACCATCCCCACCATCATCATCACCATCAGCATCACCAGCAGCAGCTTGCGTATGCGCCGCCACCTCCGCCGCCGTCCCTGCTGCTGGAGGCGGCCGGCGAGCTGTATGGTGGCCATGGCCATGGCCATGGGCATGGTCATGGCTGCTATCAGCCACCGCCGCCACCGGCGGGCGTCTATCATCAGCATCTGGGCGCCATGTCGCCGATGCAGAAGCCGCCGCTGCAGCAACAGCTGCTGCAGCATCGCCTGTTGCAGCAGAAGCGCCAGCTGTTCCAGAAGCAATACGCCCTCGAGGCGCAACTGGCGGGTCGTCATCATCATGGGCACGTCCACTACAATCACAGCCATGTGCATGCAACGCCGCCGGCTGCGGCGCCCGCATCCGAACAGCAGCTGGCCGAGGATCTGTACGAGCTGGCCATGCTGGATAGGCCGCGCAGCGGACCGCCGCGTCTCCAACACTCGCTGACCATGCCCGGCGCGCACGTCTTCAGCCAAATGAATCTGAAGACCACCTACATCAGCCAGCCGGCCAGCGAAACTGGAGCTGCAGTCGGAGCTGGAGCTGGAGTTGCATGCAGCTCGGCGCCACCGCCGTCCACGACGCCAGCAACGCCACCAGCGACACCGCCGCAGGCGCTGCTCAATAACCATGTGGTGCATGGGCATGGACATAATCATACAGCTCCTGGCCATGTCCATGGTCATGGTCATGCCGAGGCCGAGTATCGCGCGCAGACGACGACGCCACCGGTGCTCAGCCTGTTCACGCCCAGCTGGCAGACGCTGGTCAAGCCGCTCAGCGAGAGTCCCATACTGGAGATATCCGAGCATCTGGAGTCCGTGTGAGTGTTCGGGGGCGAAACATTTTTAATATGCTCGCAATTAATATTTAAAAAATTAATTAATAATTATTTCAAAAAAAAAAAACAAACTAAAATAATTATTATAATAATTCTATTCATATACATACAATACCATATATATATATATATATTTATATATATATATAGTATATATATATGATATACGATACTATTATACGATAATACGATATACACACACACATTTATAGGCTTTACATATACATATACATATACAATACCGTTAGTGAGAGAGAGAGGCAGAGAGATCCGTTAGTTCCATTTGGCAGTTCAGCGATTACTCGAAACGATTTATCGACTATCGTTATCGATAGGTATTACCAAATTATTGGATCATTTAGTTGTGTTACTAGCCTTAAGTAGTCCAAGTTTCGTACACACACACACACACACACACACACACATTGGCATATACAATATGTATATTGATAATAATTATATAATAAGCTATACCAAAAATATTCTGGTACTAGACGCAATATTCGAAATTCCCGAAAAATGAGAAGTCAAAACGAATTAAGAAGGCAAACAACGTCAAAAACTACATATATCAATTATTCGAAGCATTTATTGATGGCATGGGATATAAATATATATATACCACATCTATATATATATATATATATGCATATATATTGTATATGTATATGTATTGGTACAATAATTAGCGGCAAGCAAATAAATAAAACATCGATTGTTCTTAAACATGGAATTCAAATGTAAACCAGATATTAAAAGTCATTTGGTATAAAATGCAATATACTTTTTCGATCACACGCTCCGACTTATCAATTTATCGATCTTTGTTACACAAAAAAAAAAAAAAAAGTAGAAGGTGGGCAGCGATTTTAACTCGATATTCCTATCCATATCCACAACTGCATAGCTGCATCCCGAATATGGCAGAATAAAGCTATCGATTTGGAGCCTATATATGATATATACATACATATATCAAAATAAACTAGACAATTTTCTAGCTGATAACTAAATAAATCTTCCGTATATCATATAAATATATATGGTATATCTATATGGGATTTATCATATTTTGTGGAAATTTATATATAAATTAAAAATGGATATACGTTACATTTGACACCTATGAAAGGTGTGACCTTATATTATTTATATACATAGAACCTTTCCATATTATGATGCATAACAGTTTTACGGATCTGGAGGGGGATTTGTATGCCTTCGGTGCTTTGCGCCCCATACTACAATATATAACACTAAATACGCCTATAAATGGGCGAACAGATTTCTAGTCCAGTTAATATACGGTCATATCTTTTTTTTTTTAAATATATATCAATATACGGGCTCTAGAACGCTTCAATATAAAAGAAAGCTTTTAAACGGTTACGGATATGGATATGTATATGGATATGGATTTGTATGGGTATATGAGTATGTATATCCCTCTAATATACGGTCACACCTTTTCTGGAAAAACCTCCCTTCGTATGTATATGGATAGTCACTGCTGGGACGGAACTCTGGATGCGTCTCGACTCCCACATGGATCACGTTTTGAGCGCCCGATTCGATTCGAGATGCTTCTTCAGGGCCCGCTGCTGCTGCTGCTGCTGCTCGGTCTGGTGGCAGCGCAGTAGGTTCCAGTAGGCGCGCCTATACTCGGAGCTCATTAGCACATAGATCAGCGGATTGATGCAGGTGGTCAGATATATCAGCAGATAGCCCATTATGTTAAAGACGTGCACATCGTTGGCGCTCTTCCAGATCTTGGCCACCGTAATCGGCAGATAGCAGATGACGAACCACACAAATATCACCAGTATCATCTTGAGCAGTCGCCGATCCTTGACGCTCATCCGACCCGGATAGATCGACGAGGCGTTCGAGGTATTACCCATGGACACATAGTGCGATTTGCGTGGACTGAAGCGGGTGAACGAGGTGCGCAGCGATGTGGTGATTGGGTTCTTTCTGCCAGACGAAAGCGACAGCGGGAGAGAGAGAGAGAGAGAAAGAGGGGGGGTAAGATTATGGGTTATGCAGTTCGCAAATAAACAAATATTTGCCCAATTCCCGAGAGTCTACAAATTTGTTTGCATGAAAAATGTAAATTTCAATATTTTTATATGGCAAAGATACGACTGAATCGTAAGCGTTGACCCCAATGTGATAATACTAGGCAGTCCAAAAATCTATTGGGATTTCTATTATCGAATCTACATTTCATTTGAAACATAGAAAGTTCCCAAAAATATCGAAATGTTTGTTCTTTGATTTTCTAGAATTTCAAAGTGCGATTTGCAAGTTGGTTGTAAGTTTACTGTGCATGTTAAATATAGTTGCAGGCTACTCGAATGGGATTTCTGAATAGAGAGAGAGTTGAAATCAGATATAAATATAATCACATCGAAGATGTGATGCCCTTTTCTCTCTATCTTAAGTCTCTAGGATTCCAAATTGCGATTTGCAAGTTGGTTGTAAATTGACTGTACATGTTAAATATAGGTGCAGGCTACTCGATCATTTGAAATCAGATATAAATATAATCACATCGAAGTTGTGATGCCCTTTTCTCTTTATCTTAAGTCTCTAGGATTTCAAATTGCGATTTGTAAGTTGGTTGTAAATTGACTGTACATGTTAAATATAGTTGAAGGATACTTACGAGTTGCGGCCCTGCTCCAGCTGGTTCTGGGATTTGTTGACTGTCGCATCGGCAGTGGCTGGACCCGTTGCTGGAGCGGATCCAGAAACTGAATGCTTGTTGTTGGCGAGATTATTGTCCTGCAGCACGACATTGGCATCGATGGGCGCCTCCTGTTTGATGCTGTACGAGATGGGAAAACTCTCCGAGGAGGCGTTGTCATCGATGTAGGCCAGACTCTCGGCGACCACAAAGGGACGCGATGTGCCGGAGTCCTCATCCTTGTCCAGCTCCCGCTGCCTATCCTTGCTCTTGACCTTGCTTTTATCCTTTGGCTTCTCGGGGACCGGCGGCTTCTGTGTCTGCGTGGGCGTTTGTACGGGCGGCGTTATGGCCAGCTCGGAGCTCTTGGCGCCCGCCCGCATCGCCGCCTGGCGCACCAGCAGAAAGATTCGTGCATAGCAGATGACAATACAGACGCAGGGCAGCATAAAGGCGGCCATGAAAAGGAACTCCTTGGGCGAACGATCGTACTTATCGTGCAATATCGAACAGGAGCCGATGCTCGTGTCCAGGCCAAAGCGGCCCCAAACGCCGCGCCATGTCGGTATCATAATCGAGAACGTGACCAGCCAGGTGCCCGCCACCATGAGCGCCAAATATCGACGCTGATAAATTCTGTTTTGGGCGGAACGAGAGAGAGAGAGTGAGAGAGAGAGGGGAATCCAAAAGCATGGTTGAGGGCAGAAACCAAAAACCTACCGTGGATACTGGCGCGGATGGGCAATGATGATGTACCGATTGATGGTGATCAGCGAGACGGAGAGCAGCGATACGGCCAGCAGGCCATAGCGGAGCAGCGGAAAGAGGCGGCACAACAGATCGCTGTGCGTCCAGGCGCGCTCCTTGAACGTGGACGCGGCCAGCGGCAGATTGAAGCAGCCAAAGAGCAAATCCGAGCAGGATAGATTTATGATGAATATCGCCGTCGAATTGCGTGTCTGTTTGCCGCGCGACAGCGCCACAATTGTCAGCAGATTGCCGGGCACACCGACAATGATGAACACAATGCAAGCGATCCATGCAAATGTCAGCAGCTCGTCCGAATAGCCCTCGAAGAGCTCGTTCTCCTGGTCCATGCTGCTGCTCCGGTTGGCGCCGCCAGCCTTGCGGGCCAATGCCAGCGGCTGGGCCACGGCGCCTGGCATGCCGAGCAGCTGGATGTGGCCCTGCGCCTGGCTATCCAACTGGTGAATCATGCTATGCCACGCTCTGACTTCTGACTGGTCGCGGGTTGCTCTGCGGGATTGGCAGCGCGGTTTGCGGTCTGGGTGGGGTTGGGTGTGCGCAGCCAAGGAATGCGGCGTTTCAAACTATGACGCGCTCGTTCCTGCGCCGATTTTTGTACTAAACTAAATTCTATATATCCACACTAGCCCAAATAGCCAAGCATCCAGCAAAGAAATTAACAAATACAACAATACAGCATCAAGTGTGCTCGGTGAGCTGCTTGCGCGGGTATGCCCGACAGCTCAGATACCCTGCGCTTGAAAAATTTCCACTTGATCTACATGAAACATTTCTTGTTAACGTTGAAAATCCTATGACCAATCGCATACCAAATTTCCCAACTCTAGCTCTGTCAGGCATGCCCGACTGCTCAGATACCCTGCGCTCGAATACCACATTTCATATATTTCGAGAAATTTTCACCTGAGCTACATGAAACATTTGTTGTTAACGTTGAAAGTCCTGTGGCCAGCCGCATACCAAATTTCCCAACTCTAGCTCTGTCAGCTGCCGAGTTATCTGGGTTATATCAAAATCAAGGGAACCGATACTTAGTTCAGCATAACAATATATACATAATATACACTTTAAGCTATCGAAGCGAAGACTTATTACAAATTTCAAGACTCTAGTTCGAATGGTTCCAGAGATCTTTAAGTTATATATGAAAATATGGTATGTATATATCTTGCACAGTCTTCGATCAACTTATCTAGATTTGTATGGTTACAGGGTATTGGGAACGAAACGATACGAAACTTTCGAAAAGGAAAACAACAACAAAAACGTTTTTTTTTTTTTTTATTGTATACAACAATTGACTTCATCATCGGGTAATTTGAAATGAGCGGAGCGCTTTGTTTACATTGTTCTTATATTTTGGCCTTTTCTAACATTTTTTGTTTTTTTCGCTTTTCGTATTATTTCTTTTTCAGAATTTGTTCAAATGGAAGAGAAACCAGGGCTTCGGCATGGCCGAAAAAACGCCTATAGTTGTATATAAACACGATTGATTTGGCCGCTGCCCTGGATATTTGGGCTCTCTCGCGATTTTCAAATAGAATATTTTCAATTCTTTCTAGTTCCAGGCAATGGGCATGCACCCACGAGCAGCTTCCTCCGGTTGGCTGCGGATAATATATGGCTGGGCATGCTAGCCAAGACCGCAATCAAAAGAAAGAGCATAAATTATGTCGGTATTTATACACACACACTCACACACACACACGCACTAACCGCAAAAAAGAAAATATACACTTTACAGGGTATTCGCTAACAAATACTTATAAACAAGCCAAGGAGTGTTTAATAAGGAGTTTTAAGTAGTTATCGAGTTTCAACTTTCTTTTCGAGTATTGACTATGATTCATATTACTTATGTAAAGCATATTTAAAGGGTAGAGTTAGTTATAGAGTATATATATATATATAAATGCTATAAAATATGTTGTAGCCCTTTTATGGGGTATAAATCGAATATTAGCTGGAATAAGACATTCAATATGCTTACAGAAAATGCTGTACTTTTCATTATATAGAATAGAATAATATAGAGTCATGTGCAACTCTGGTTTATAGAGTACTTTTATTGTATGTATTGTATGTGCCCCAATAAGAAACTCTTTTATTTGATAAATATTCCAGGAGTATCCTGGTCTGAAGAGTACTTAAATAGAACTACGGATTGATTATTTAGTATACTTGCGTAATATATAGGGTATACTGCCTTGGGAGTATTGTATTTATAAGGAACTAAGTAAAGATAAGGTATATAGATTATAGCAGAGCGTATATATATATATATATATATATATATATATAGATACATCAAGTCTATTTTAGTTATAGAGAACATGGGAGTATCTTACGCCCTTCTATGTGTAACCCCAGCGTCTGACTGGGCCCGTTTTCCAGCTAAATGTACGCCCCTCGTGACCCCCACGCGGTCTCCGAGCGACCGGGCGACCGAGCACGATGGCGTCAGAGCAGATCGATTCGATTTGGGAACTGCCAGTAGCCGGGTCGTCCGCTCTTTTAATGCCAGCGTCATCTTAATTAATTAATGAAGCAAACATTAAAAAAAAAACAGAAAAAATATAGTCGCTCAGCGCAGAGAGGGGCTGCACTGGGTGCGGGCCTGCTCCGGGTTCATTGAGTAGAGCGCAGCGAATTGGCAAGCGGCAGGGGAGTGGTGGTGAGGGGGGTATTTTAATGGGCATGTGAATGAGAGTGAGAGTGAGAGTGAGAGTGAGAGTGAGAGTCTTGTGAGTGTGAGAGTCTTATGTGTGTGTATGTGTGTGTGTGTGTCATATACAACTGAGTCGGGTGAAAAAGTCTTTGGCAACAATTGTAAATTGACCGGCAACGCCCGCGGTTCTCATTAGCCAAGAGCTCACACACACACACACACACACACACACACACACACATGTGTATATGTATAGATAGTGTATGTATATATATATATATATATATATACTTTGATATGCTGTTGGCAACGATAGCCAACTGACCGCTAATCAGATGCCCTTTCGAGCAAACAGAAACCCATCGCAACGCATTGAGCTCTATGCAATTAAAGAGATACGCACGCACGCACGCACACACACACACACACACTCTCTCTCTCTCTCTCTTTCGCACACACTTCAGTATATACATATCTATAAACGATCGTGTTCTTCGCAGCATAAACAAACGCGACCGTCGTCTACTCGATTTGTGTAAACATTTGTGAAATACTTGGTGGAGCAACCCGAAGCCAAAGACGAACCCGAAACCGAAATCGCAGCGCCCCTCACCCCTCTCCCTCTGCCTCACACACTGCTGTCGGGCCTTATCAATATCAATTCAAGCAATGCGTGTAATTCCGGGTACTCAAAGACAGTCACAGTACAGTGAACGCACAAATCAATGGACTAGACAAACAAAGATCAAATTTGTTGTTGTTGTTCTTGTTTTTGGTATTTTTTGTGTTTGTCGCGAATGCGTAAGACAACATTATTTTCGGTTCAGAGTATTTTTATTAAGTAGTCCGATTTCTAATAAGCCAAATAAAGCTGACATCCAAAAAAAAAAAAAAAAAAACCAAGAACTCAATATTGTGGTAATTATTGCAGCTCGTACTGTAGAATCTGAGCAGAATGAATATCCTGAAACAGAGACAGTTATATGATATCGCAATTCGATATTAACAAAAAGAGATTCATTTGCAGAACACAAAATGTATAATGATTCGATGGAAACCGATTTCCATCGATTTTCCACCGTTGCGTGTGAAAAAGAATACGAAAAGCCACCTTACTCCAATGGCAACTGTAATATATACTGATCCGATCTGCCAAAATATGTTATATATATATACTTATATAAAAATTTGCCAAGTTATAAATCCATGATCAATTTAATCGAAATAACAGAAAGAAGAAAATTAACGAAATTATAAGGCTTTCAAGAACATTCACAAAATCAAAACTGGATTAACTAGAACTAGAAAAGAAGAATTCGTCTTAAAAGGAGGGTTATCAAATATGGCATAGAGAAATACTTATCTAGTATCTAGTAAGAAGCTTCAGCTTAATCTAAATATGATCCAGGCGCCTGTAGTCCAGCACATAGGGCTGGCCATCGGGCAGGAAGAGGGTTACCTGGACGGTGCCATCTGGATTCTCCAGATCATCCGTTTCCATGACATCCTGCTCGGATTCGGTGGACATGGGCTCCAAAGTTGGACTTACAGCCGCAACCGGACTACCAGCCGGCTCATAGCTCCTAATGTATTCCTGTAGATCATCATCGTACGCTCCGATATTCTCAACTTTGGGTTGTAATCAAAGAAAAGAAAGAGAGAAAGCAGTTTAATCGGTACCTAACAGAAGATAGTCCCGATCACTCGGAACATATCGTTAACTCTGGTGATATACCATCAAAATCGTATTCATCCACATTCAAAGATTCGTCTGGCCACATTGGAGCAACTGGTTCCGGAACTCCAGGAAAAAGCAACCGATTATCGGATGCGAATTCGGCGTTAGACGTATGTGAACCGACATCCGGCTGTGGTATTCCAAGAAAGGAGAGCACAATTGGCGAATGAAATTCGTCACCGGAAATGCATAAGGATTCGTTCGAGCCAATTGGCAAGTTCGGAAACGAATGGAACTCGTCCTCGGCATAGTTCAGGGATTCTGGGCTTCCACGAGTCGAAGCCAACTGCGTTGCTGAACTTGTCCTGCCAACTGGCTTAAATGACGATTGGCAAGAAGCAATTGGCAAATCCAATTGGGCGACCCCACGGCCGGACAGCTGAGTAGCCGAACGAGTTCCAGCATAGCCGGAAGATTGGCCCGACCATTTTGGAACAATTGTTTCGTTCAGCTGACTCGCCGAACGAGATTTAGCAACGGAACCTACTGAGCGTTCGCAGGACACAAGTGAAACCTCGGGCTGTGCTGGCGCAGGGACGGACAGTTCCACATCGGGAATATTGCCGGATAGGTCTGCCGACTGTTGTTGTCCAGAATCGACGACTGACATAGGTGTATAATTGTAGGGCTCAACTGGAAGATTGGGCCCCGACACGGCCAGCTGAGTAACCGAGCGGAATTCGACGTCGGAAATACTTGAAGCCGGTGGCAGGGATTCCGTCAACGACATACTAGATGCTGAAGATAATTCTAGCTCAGGAACGTTTGCCCATATTGGAACAGCTGGCCCAGTTCCTAAGCACAACTTGACGACGGCAATCTCCGAACATCCTGGCCATATTGGCACAGCCGGTTGTTGACCTCTGGGGAACGGAGGCCGAGTAGCGTCGGGAATACTTAGATGTGGTTGTGGGAGCTGCTGAGCAGCTGGTTCAAATTCAAAGTCGGCTTCAGTCAAGGAGAACTCGGTTGCTGAGCTAAATTCAACGTCGGGCATGTTTGGGCTAACGCCAGGTCCTATTGAATCTGCTCCAGCGATTGAGCTTGAGCCGACCTGTTCGTAAAACCCACTTGAAAGTTTTAGTGCGGACGCGTTAGGAAAGCACAACGAAGGTGCTGGAATTATTTCTTCCATATCCATGTTCAATTCCGACCATTCAGATGTTGTCATTGAGTGTTCCGATTCAGCGCAGGTTTCGGGAACTGTTCGAATGCCTTCAGAAATCTGACGAGTTTGGGTCGGAACCTCAGCTCTTTGCGACTCGTTACCAATCGTATCATCTGGTTGTGGGCCTTCACTAACTAATATCTTATTTGCCAGCCGAGTTTCCAGTTTTGAGTTGTTCTCATGTGTATCTGAGGATGTCTCACAGCAGTCTACAGATGATATTAATTCATCTGACACCGCTTCCTTAGCGATTCCTTGAACCATTGAAAGTTCTGAAGATTCTTTAACATTTTCAAATAGTTCGTGCTTTTTAACAGCATGTAAAAGTATTATTCTCTCATCATTTTCTGGAGTATTAACTGTTTCTTCGGATTTAGTTGGGACACCATTTAGTGCATCTGCACTGTACTCCAGCTGATTTTCCGCATTTCGGTTGGTTTCATCAATATCTTCGATCTTGAAAAGTTCTGCAATATCATCTGTTCGAGCTTGTGCGGGCTCGAGCTCTTGGATCTTTAATGGCGCTCTGTACCCAAACGGATCATTATATCGTCGGACTGCACTGACCCAATTGTCATCTTCCTGCGCGGTTTTGTGTGCTTTGAAAGAATCCTCGTTCGAGATCTTTAATAAATTTGCAAACTGTTCTTGCAATGCCATGTCATCGTTTACTTCTTTACTGAAAGTTTCTTGCGATTTGAATGGAACAACGTCCGGAGAAGCTGGAGTTGAGTCTTGGATGTCGTCCGTTCGATTCACCTGGTCAATAGGTTTCTCAGCCGCGTCTGATTGCAGCGTAGGTTGCAATAACTCATCATTTTGATCCATAAAAAATGTTTCTTGCGTATATAGAATATCTGCTAGGGATTCTGTGAAGCTGTAGTCGAATGTATCTTGATTCTGGGCAGATGTCTCAGAGCAGTCTACAACTGATATCAGATCTTTCGAGTCGGGTTCTTTAACCATCGAAAGTTCTTCAGATTCAGATAATTCGGTAGCTGATATATTTTCTAACTGGGCTTGCACCTCGGCCTCTTGGTTGTTTGATGGTTTCGCAGATCCAACTGTCATGGCAACTTGTTCGCCAACGACCTGCTCGGATTCTACAAGCTGGCAAGGCTTTCCAGCAGAATCTGGGATGGTGGTGAATAATTTAGCAAGTCTCTCAATCTCTTCGATATGAAAACTTTCGACTGGCTCAAATGGAACATCCTCTTCAGAGGATTCACTTAATTCTGGCTCAGGTTCCAGGATGTCGGGATTAACTGCAGATGCAACATTTTCCGACGCTTCAATCATTGAAAGTTCCTCAGATTCTTGCATGTTTATCGACAGTTCTGAGGAGTCGGAAACTGATATCAAATCTTTGGGCTCCGTTTGGATTTCGAAATCTTGGATACCTGATGGTTCCTTAGATCCCACTGGCACATCATCTTGTTTTAAAACTACTCGGCTCACCCATATGTCGTTCCCCTGCTCGGCGCCTTCAATCCAGATATCCGCAGACTTTACTGGCAATATCTCATCGTGCTCTTTCGGATCTGCCTTTGGAGGAGCCTCGGTGGACTCCAGTTGGATTTCCAATTTTAAATCGCCGTCTTGAATCTCTGGAAATGCCTCGATCTCTGCCGACTTGGCTGGCGCTTTTACTTCTTGAGCATTTGGATCTGCGATTGGAGCATGTCGCTCGGAAGCTGGACCGAACGGCTTCGCATCGTCAAACAGATTTTTTAATTGGAACTCGAATTCCATCATCTCAACCAGAGTCTCATATGACATGTCTGCCGGTCGATTTGCTCGATCCGAATCCAGCCTCTCATCATATTGTTGTGGGGCGTCACCTGCGCCGTTTGTGTCAGACTCGGAAGATCGTGCGCTATCTTTCTGCTGAATTTTAGAAACCACGTCCGATTCCAGCGACTGGGCATTCTCTGTGCCGGCGACAACAGGCGTTTCATCATAAATCTCCTGCAGTGCTCTAAACATGGCTAGGGCTTCCAGGTGTGCCGCCTGGGGTAACAATTGTCGCACAGATCCTTCGATTTGTTGCGACGAGCATAACCCTATAATCGTTCCAGCTAGCCAATGGAGGTACCTTACAGAGCCTGCGCACAGCGTATAGGCCAACATCTCCACGACGCCAGCCGCCAGGCACAACATATAGACTAGCCAAAGCAATTGGCTAGCTAGATTGAGATTGATCCAGGTGACACGATTCACGCCCTCGTATATTCTCTCATAATGCAGATAGATGGTCCTCGGATTGTCGTATGCCACAATGCTGAAGCTTTTGGTCAGTTGGATCTTAAATAGCGGTGATTTCTTGCTGCCCTGCCGTTCCGCCTGTTGCGCTTGCGTCGTGTGCGAGTCCACTTTGCCGCCATCCCCGGCATGTTCCAATTCATCGCCATAGGGATTGGAGTACATATGCACTGGGCGCTCCACAAAGTCAGACGGATCAATCCGTTCAATGTCCGGCGGCTCGAAGACATCGGGAACAGCGATATGAATGCTATATTGTGGTCCTCGCAGTCTTAACCATATATGCACAACCGGATTGGATAAAGGCGAAAAGAACCACAGAAAGTATGAGGTTAGGATTAACCAATCCATTCTTGCGCCAACAAATTTATAAAATTTCCCGTTCTCCTGCCTTAGTTTTAGATAGCAGCAGACCAAAAAGCTCGACTGAAGAAAATTAAAACGAGGTTTACTGAATTTATGCTGACACAGAAGATACAACTGAACTTCGAATTTGTTCTTACTTAGAGTTTCTTCTTCTTAAAATTCCCCATTTCATGCAATCATGAATGTGCAAAATACTCCTTTTCATGCAGCTTTTGCAAATGAACTGAAATGTTAACGAGGTGGCAACACTGTGGCAACAATCGACAGTTCCAATTTGAATTGGCGTCCTTAACGCGTTGGAATAACTTAATTTTTATTAAATTGAATCAATATAATCACAAATTGACAAACTATTTTTAATCAATAGTCAAACTCTCGAATTTCAATTTAAGTTTGTGAAAACAAATTTGCAAACTGAGCAAGCGCAAATGTAACGTAAAATGGCGACATCCTAAAAAACCAGGGCAGCATATCGCAAATACTGACAACAAAATACCAAACACAAATGCCCAGCGAGAATGCAGCCCTGCGTACATTTCTGCAATACACTCAGTCGTGCTCTCCACAACGCATGCAGCTCATGTATAACATTTCATACATGAATGTACTTATTTGCGGGTAATTTCCCCGAAAATGCGCATAGTAATACTTAAAAAAATAAATAGGTTAATAGATAGTTTGGCCTTATACAATCGTATTAGAAATATTAAAATTCCAGTCGATGCTTTTCAGTGCTGCAAAGGAATTAAATAATGCTTGACAGGATATTCAAACAGTTTCTAACGTTATCTGAAGGGCAGGGCACATGGTGCCCTCTATTGAAGTATTGTTATGGGGTATATGCATACATATGTACATGTATGTATGTATGCATGTATTTATTTATGCTTGAGTATGCGCTTCACTATGCAATAGTTGCGATGAGAATGGTTAATTGCGCGCCGCGTCGCGTTTCGTTGTGCGTATCGCCTATCTATAAAAAAAGAAATAAAAGCAATACACAAACAAAAACTCACACAACATGCATGCAGTATCTAACGCGATCGGCAATCGCATGAATCGCATGTGCCCCCGCCGCCCTCTGCAATGTTGTCTGACAAATATGTACAATAACAACAAAAACAGTAATCGCCAGCAGAGAGCGTACGGTCAGTGAGAGCAAATGTGCGCGCGACAGAAAGAGAGAGCGCATGTGTGTGAGTGTGTGTGTGTGTGTGTGCGTATAGAGCGAAATTGTCAACAGCCAACGGTGAATATCAATTGACAGCGACGACGACAGAGCTGCCGCCCCAAAAGCGGGCACTCGATAATGTGCAGTCGTCGTAGACAAACGCAGAATAAGCGAGCGCGCAGTCGAACACCATTTAACCGTTACAGTTAGTTTGCTTTCGTGCGTTTTGTTTTGATCGCGCTCTTCCCTTGAAGAATTGTAGCTGATATTTTTTTTGTTCTTTTCTTATTGTGAATAACGCGACAAATGCGTTTGTGTGTGTTGTGTGTGCTTGCAACATTTTTACCTGTATATGCGAAAGTCTGCAAGCTGCTTGAATCCCAAATGTATTAGTCATGATCGCGAACGCTCGTTGCCGCAATTTTGAATCATCCGACAGGCCCCCGGCCCCCTGCCCCCCCTTGGCCTGCAGCAGGCCCCTAACTCAATGCGCTCAGCATTCGTGAATAACCCGGCGGCAACAGCGAGCGCAAATCGTTAACTGTTTACATTTGTCAGAGCTGGCTTAAGTTCAGTTAAGTTCAGTTCACCTGAGTGAAGTTTTGGCTCAGTTATTACTCATAAACACCTGAGCGCTGACTTTGGGTCGCATCGCAGCGAGATTTGCTCTCTAACAGCTGCAATTACGTGAAATAATCAACAAACTAATGTCTGATAAGCACAGCGGGTCGAGTAAGTGCGTCATTTGTGATTTGTGATCGGTGATCGGTGATCAGTGATCAGTGATCGGTGATCGGATCGTGAACGTCAGCACAGCTGGGACAAGTTGTCTACCTCTACGAATCGCATGTGCCACACCAGAAGGCCAGGTGAGTTCTCTAAGCTGATAAGATAAGTACACAAATATCGCAAACAAACAGCCTCGTTAGGTGTTGGACACGGCGTATACGTAACATTTGTTTGCCTGATCTAACAATGTGCCTAATCCCTCAGATGTAAAGGTAAAAAATTGTCACGTTCTGATATTGCGTATACGTACTTAATGAACTTATATACGTACCTGTCAGATACCTATTCAAGTCGATTCTTAGTTATGCTCAGCTTTTTATATAACCTAACGATCTACCAATCCAACGATCCGTCGATCTATAGCCTCAGAATATCCAAGAGATTCTCTGCATTAGGCTTATCAAATCGGAACTTTTTAATATAATGAAGCATAAATATTGTTAAAAAACTTATTATTAATAGCAATTTTAAATAGGAATTATTTGCATTGCAGAACTTATTATAAACTATGTTCCGATAATTCTAGAAGCGTCAGCTTCTCAGTAATATTCAAGAATATGATTAGGTTCCCACATTCCTCTACGCATTCGCGACAGCCTCTCGTCTCATATTGTAGCTGACATTCGAGAAAAGAATTAAATAAAAAAGCTGCCTTGGATTTTGCGTAAACAATAAAGTGCTTCAAATACAAGGCTGGAATTTCAGTGTTTGTTTGTATCGTGATTTGATACAAGCGTTAATTTTATATTCCTGGTAGATTCTGATGCTGATAGAAGATAGAAAAGCGATAAATTGGCGAAAGCTGGCCGAAACTCTAGACGCTTGTTCGCATATAAAACAGTTACATAGCTTACATTACAGTTACATGAATGAAAATGCGATCGAAATGTTTCGTTAAGTTTTGAAAAACTTTTTAGAAGATAGAAAAGCGATAAATTGGCGATAGCTGGCCGAAGCTCTAGATAATTAGCATATTAGCATATTAAGTTAACGAAAAAGTGAACGAAATGTTTCGTTAAGTTATGAAAAACTTCTTAGAAGATAGAAAAGCGATAAATTGGCGATAGCTGGCCGAAACTCTAGATAATAATAAATGCTTTTCGCATATAAAACAGTTACATAGCATAATAGATGAATGAAAATGCGATCGAAATGTTTCGTTAAGTTTTAAAAAACTTCTTAGAAGACAGAAAAACGATAAATTGGCGATAGCTGCCCGAAACTCTAGATAATAATTTACGCTTTTTCGCAAATTAGCATATTAAGTTAACAAAAAAGTGAACGAAGTGTTTCGTTAAGTTTTGAAAAACTTCTATGTAAGGGTTGTAGAAGATAGAAAAGCGATAAATTGGCGAAGTCTCTTCAGGCTGCGAGTCATGTGTGTGCTTGTGAAGCAGACCTACTTACAGGGTATCTCTCATACCCGATCTACAGCTAGCATGCGTTTTTGTCATATTTAACTGGGCGTCAGCTACTACTGAGAAATAAAGTAAAGTGAAAAGTGTTCCGGCATGTCTCATGCATATATATATATATATATGTATATAGATATATATATAATATATATATATGTATATGCATATGTATTAGTTGATGTGGTGCACACTCAATTAATTAAGGTTCGGCGCTGATCTTTGCACCCGCAGCTACTGAGTGCTGTGTTTGACCTCTTTAAATTATTTAATTGACACTAATTTATTGTAGTGCAAAGAAAACAAAACTCGCCAACGGGTGCCGCCACAAAACGGGCTGGTGGCAGTAGGGTGGGGCTTGCTGTCTTGGGGCGGGGAGTACGGCCCGGTACTGCCCCCGGGTTGCACCGAAGTTGAGCTGCCAGCTGCCAGTTGCCAGTTGGCAGTTGGCGGTGCTCGGTTGTCGTTCGATCGGTTGGATTTTTCTTTCTTTCGGTTTTTTTTTTGGGTGACAAGTTAAGGGCTGGCCGAGCTGATCAGGTAGAGCTGAGCTGCATTGGAGCCTGCCCCAAGCGGAAAGTATTGATGTGCCTCTCTCTGAACTCGCCTTATCTTGCAGCATGAATGACGACACAACTGCTAGTCCCAGTCCGAGTCCGGGCCTGGGCTATGGCATGGATGATATGCTGTCTGCGGCGCCGACGGGCCCAGCGAGCGGCCTGGATGCTGTGGACGAAAGCGGGTAGGTTGCCCTCGACACCCTATCAGCGCCAGCTGCTGGTTAATTATAGCGCAGTGTGAGAGGTCTGATAACCGATCGTTAATATTACGCGGCCCATTTCAAGCGCCGCTCGACACAATCCCCCACAACAAGCTGATTGCGGGCCACTCAGACGAACGATCGTCCCGAGGATCGGCTGTGAACAATGGCCGGCGTCTCTTGGCCAGCGACTGCGACGGCGACTGCAACGGCAGATATGATATGGACGCGGCGGGCTAAAGGTCGATCACGATCACTTCAAGGATCAGCGCTGCGATCGCCTCAACTATCCAAATGCCAACGAATTCATAATTTTCATAATTTGTTCTCGTATCATTTGCAGCTTCTCGCAATCGCTGTTGACCTTTGCGGCGATCATGACCTTTCTGATCATGATCGTCGGCATTTGCGGCAACTTTCTGACCGTTGTCGCGCTCCTCAAGTGCCCCAAGGTGCGCAATGTGGCCGCCGCCTTTATCATCAGGTAGGTTCAAAAAAACAATTTTCTTAATTAATCTAATGAGAGTCCATTGAAGAGGGCAACAAATCATATATATTGGATTAATTGTGCATTAGACAAATTCAACTAAAACGAGAGAGAATGATCATCTTCGGCACGCCGAAGATCTAATACCCTTGCAGACCCAACCTTTTCATAATGCTTTGCCCGTATCTAAGAAGCACAGGAAAAATAGTTAATGCCAAGTATGGTTAAGATATATTGAAAAACAAAAGGTTTTTCAAACAACTTTATTTTCTACCGATCGTTCCTATGGCAGCTATATGATATAGTGTTCCGATGTTGTAGGGATTTCCCATATAGATGAACAGCATAGTAAAACAATTAAATGTTGAGTTTGGTCAAGATATCTTGATGAACAAAAAAGTTTTTCATATAAGAACCTACTTTTCGACTGGTCGCTCCTATGGCAGCTATATGATATAGTGTTCCGATGTTGTAGGGATTTCCCATATAGATGAACAGCATAGTAAAACAATTAAATGTTGAGTTTGGTCAAGATATCTTGATGAACAAAAAAGTTTTTCATATAAGAACCTACTTTTCGACTGGTCGCTCCTATGGCAGCTATTTGATATAGTGGTCCGATGTTGATAGGATTTAGCACATATATGAGGGGCATAGTAAAACTAATAAATGCCGTGTTTAGTCAAGATACTTTAATAAACAAAAAAGTTTTTCATACAACAACTTAATTTTCGATCGATCATTCCTATGGCAACTATATGATATATGGTTCCGACATACGTACTGCGTGCAACAGCAATAGGGACATACGCAAAGATTCATGAAGATAGCTTTAAAACTGATTGACTAGTTCGCATAGAAACAGACAGACGGATATGGAATATATATACTTTATGAAACCGGAGATGTCTCCTTCTATTTATTACATAGTTCACGACAAAATTATAATACCCTTTGCAAGGGTATAAAAAACGAACAACAAACAGCGCAGCCAACTTAACTTGTTATGTGATGAAAAGAGAAAGAGAGAGTAAGAGAGTGAGCATTAATTCGAGGGCTGCAAAAGAAAGGTTGGTGGTTCGGTTCACGAACTAGTTGGAACTAGTTCAATGTGCTCGTTTTTTTGTATACTTAAAACATTTTTGAGCGAATTCAATTTATAATTCAATTTTTGCCCGTTCTACTGTAAATATTGCAAGCCATCAATATTTTCATGCAGAAATTTCGGGCTAGATTTGTTCTCTGTTTAAATTTGCCAACTTCCAAATATGTTTAGATAATGGACAAAGGTTTTTATACGGAAATGTTTCGGGTCGGGTTCGGTTCAGTTTAGCCAAAGGCTCGTTTCATGGTAGGGCATAAATTGAAAATTCGGATTCGAGCTGGCTCAGTGATTCAACCTCTTGCCTAATACGTTAATTAATTAAATGTATTCATTACTTTATTAAAGTTAAAGTTAAAAAACAATAAAATACTCTGTTAATGCAGTTGATTTGCACTCAATTAAAAAAAAATACCCTGTATTTATTTGTACAGCCTTTGCATAGCGGATCTGCTGTTCTGCGCCGTGGTGCTGCCCTTTCAGGGTCTGCGCTTTGTCCAGGGCACCTGGCGGCATGGCCCGGTGCTCTGCCGCCTCATTCCGTTCATCCAGTACGGCAACATTGGGGTCTCGCTGCTGTGCATCGCGATGATCACGATCAATCGATACGTGATGATCACCCACCATGGCTGCTATGCACGGATCTATAAGCGCCACTGGATCGCGATCATGATCGCCGCCTGCTGGCTGGTCTCCTATGGAATGCAGCTGCCGACGCTGCTTGGGGCGTGGGGTCGATTCGGCTACGATGCCCGGCTGCAGACGTGCTCCATAATGAGCGACGCGCACGGGCACAGCAGCAAGACGACGCTGTTCATAACGGCCTTTGTGATACCCTGCCTGGTGATCATAGCCTGCTATGCGAAGATCTTCTGGGTGGTGCACAAGTCCGAGCAGCGGCTCAAGCGGCATGCCAACAAACAGAACTCCATACCCAACAATTTGCGGCCAGTGGCCGCCGCGTCTCCCGCTGGCCAGGATGGACCAGTGCAGCCGGCCGTGGTGGCGGCGGTGGCGGCGGCGGCGACAGCCAGTCGTGTGTCCACCGACAGCAGCAGCAGCTACTCGACGGATGTGCCCGAGGCGTTGACAGTTGCAGGCAAACAGCCGCCGCCGCAGTCGCGGGTCAAGGATCAGCGTGAGGTGCGCGCCAAGCGCAACGAGTGGCGCATTACCAAAATGGTGCTGGCCATATTCCTGTCGTTCGTCATCTGCTATCTGCCCATTACGATAGTCAAGGTGGCCGACAAGGATGTGGAGCATCCCAGCCTGCATATCTTCAGCTACATCATGCTCTACCTGTCCGCCTGCATCAATCCGATCATCTATGTGATCATGAACAAGCAATATCGCAAGGCCTACAAGACGGTCGTCCTCTGCCAGCCGGCCAGGCTCCTGCTGCCCTTCGGCAAGACGAACGGTGCCAGCAGCGCCGCAGGTATGTACCATGGGCTATGGCTAGTTCAGTTGCATGCGAACCACATCCACTAAGTCACGCTTTCCGTTCGTTTTAGAGAAATGGAAAGATACCGGATTGAGCAACAACCACAGCCGCACCCTTGTCTCCCAGATGTCCGCCGGCGCAGCAGCAGCAGCGGCGGCGGCGGCGGCGGTTGCAGCGACGTCGGCGGCGACGCCGCCGCCCGCATCCGATTGCCAGTCCTTGCCGGCGACCAAAGCGTCGCCTCAGTCACTGGAGCTGATGTCCAGGTGTCCAGATCTAATAAATCGAACGAATCAGCCGCCATTGGTTACGCCCCCGCCGCCATCGGTAACGCTGGCAACGGCTCAACCGAGCAGCAGCAGCGGCGGCAGCCGGCTGCCGCTCAAGAAGAGCAATCACTCCTACATCAACAACGGCTTCAACAGCAGCGGGCACAGCCAGAACAGCGCCGTTTATCGGCCCGCAGCTGGCTCCCCGCCGTCGGCGGCGGCGGCGCCGCTGCGTCGCATCACCATGGTGGGGGACGATATTATACTGGAGGAGGAGGAACTGCCCGCAGTGCCCAGTCCGACGGCGACGGCGCTGTCAGTCAGCAAAGTAACCAAATCGCCCATCTACATGAACGTCAACAGTCCGAAGAGAAACCAATCTTATAGCGACAAGGCTTCGGTCAAGGATGCACTGCAGCAGGCATCTGTCCCATCCGACCAGGGCGAGGATCAGCTGGATGCTAGCAAAGTGCCCACAAAGTTTCCAAATCCAAAAGACTAACGAAATGCTTTAATTCCAAATATCGTAACTGTTACATTCCCCCCCACCACAGCTCCTTCCACCACTACGTACGTTATATATATAGTATATCGTACATATCGTTTAGCATATATCGTATATTCAATATCGACTACGACATAATTATAGGCATATACTACATATATCACAAACAGTATACTGAGCTCGCAAATTCGTTTACGGTATGTGCATACAAATATCTATGCCGTTATGGTATAACATGTGTGTCGTCAATTATATATCGTGCTATTAATAACGTTTACGATAAGCCAAGTTCTCAATATTGATTGCGTTTATATAAATATGTAAATCGACGTATCATATCCTGTATTTACCTATATCGTAAATGGTAGAATATCCCCAACATCGTTTACGGAGTGTACATATACGTTATCGTAAACAGTATATCGTATCTCTCAATATCGATATGTAAATCGTAAATGGTAGCTGGCACACGTTATATGAATACATGTATATGTATCGTAAATGTTATAACAAGTACTCAGTCCCGTTTAAATGCATATATGTATATCGTAAATCGTAAAACGTAAATGGTTTATTGTGCTCCCAATATCAGTTGTGGCACATTCATACATATATATCGTAATCGTAACATACTTATAGATATTTATCGCTGTCTGCACTTAGTATTAACCCGTCTATCTCCAAATCCCTCAAGCTCAAACTGTATATGTTGTTCAATTCTTAAAATATGTTATCGATATGCATAACCATCGTTAAAGTCCGTATCCGTATGTCTGACATAAGCAAGGCAACAAATCCATTTGATAAAATATATCTCCAATTATGATTCATTTATGGAAACATATTTTCGAATCTGAAAACTGTTCAATTTGTTAATTACTCAATTTTGCTTAATAAGAACATTATATTTGTACATTTCATTAACATTTTTGTCCACTGTTAACAGCTCATGTTCAAGTTATTATGTTATGCTTCCATGTTACAGTTATGGGCAAGAAACACTCAATTGTCGATCACGTTCGACTAGAGCTTATTTAATTATTTTTATATATATTATATATTTTTTTAAATATTATTTATAAAATTGTAAACTATCTTTTTTTTCCTTATGTTTTTTTTTTTTTTCCTTACAATCGTGTTGAGCTCCGATTGGGTCTATTGCGGACCTTGACCACATTTGATAGCTAGATTGTTAACCCATATAGTATGCCATAAAACATTCCATATATGTATTTATATATAAACTATATCTGTAGCACTAACTATATATGTTTGTTTGTACCTATCATAGCATAGATCCCTCGCACATATATATATATATATATATATTTTATATGGGCTGCACTGTAAAGCAATCGAATATACAATAATACTTATACAAAACAATTCGTTCAGTAAATCTTATGTGAACATATTTTAATCAATCTACAAATATTGGAATATGTATTTTGCCTAGCCTAATCATATTGCAGCTTATCTCTTATTGAGCTAGAGAATTAGAGAGTAAGTGAGAGAGCGAGAGAGCGAGAGAGTGAGAGAGAGGGAGACACGCCCAGACTGTGGAGATCGGCGCGCTGTACACTGAGCGAAATTTGCAAAGCCTTCAATGAATTTAATTGAATTGATTTAATGAATTATTGAATCACTCAAAAAGTCGCGTTCTTTTTACTTTTGACAGTTTTTCATCAAATGAGCCTCAATAATTTGATGTACATTTTTTTTTTTTTTTTGGATCTGAGATCTAATTGATGCCATCGGCTGGCCTGAATCTGTCACACCCAAAATATTGGCTCTTTGTCTCCCATTATTGATATATCCATGTTTGGTTCCGTATTTTATTGATATTTTGGTGGATGGAGGCCCAGCGGGCGGCACAAACGAGCAACTGATAAGCGGAACTGCAATTCTCTTGAGCGCATCTGTTGCGATTTATATGTGGCATTAGTTCAGTACGATAATGAGTGGCAATCGAAGCACCAGCAGCAGCGGCAGCCGGAGCAGCGGGAGCTGGAGCAGCGCTAACAACAGGGGAGGCCATGTGAGCTGCCCGATCTGCTCGGAGCGTTATGGGGCGACGGATAAGATCTACGGCGGCAGCTGCGGTCATGTGTTTCACTGGCAGTGCCTGCAGCGCTGGTGGGAGGAGTAAGTGCATCCGGAATTAAACTGGAAACATATATTAATTCGTTTCCATTGGACAGATCAGACAGTTGTCCGATTTGTCGCAGCAGCGGCGAAGACTATTTTCAGCTTTATTTAAACTTTGAGGAATTGGAACAGGGCCAAAGTCTGGCACAGACGCAGTCGCATTCAACTGGACAAAGCAGCAGTCCAAGCGACTTGACCAGCGAGTACCAAAATCTTCTGTATGAATCGGATCTTTATCGCGACGAGATTGAGTATTTAAATGCACGCATCAGGAGTTTAACAATCCGTCTTTGCGATTCTACTGATTCAGACTAAAGTGCCAACTATATATATACACACACACACATATATATATATTTATAGAATAAAATGTAGGATAAGATAAAAAAACTTCACCTTTAAATTGAATGATCAGCGCTGCATTTTGGCGGCTTTGCCGATAGTCGATTATCGATAGTTTGTGTCTGTCACAATCGTATTTTTGTGTGGTCAAATTTAGTACATTTAGCATATTTGAGTATTTTATTTGCAGTGTGTTTGAATTGGACGGCAGATCAGTTCGGTAAAGATAATTGCAAATAAACGCATCTATCAATTGTTTTTCATCAATTTGTCAATGTTTGTATATGTGCATGTGTGTGTGTACAGCAATATAGTGCGAAAACTGTTTAAACAGTCGGAGCCTCGTACTGTGTGAAATCAAACAAGTGCGCATGCAAGTAAGTTGCACCGTGCATTCTATATAAAACTAGATTAAATTTGAAAATTAATTTGACTTTGATCTTAACTGTGGACTCGATCTAGTGTGCTATGCTTTGTTTGTTGTAGGCGCGTTCTCGAAATTCATTGTTTGTTGTTGGTTGGCGATTGCCTTGTCGGTTATTTAGGCCGAGGCTGGAGCCGGGGAATTGGCGCTTTGTCCATATGTACGCAAGTATGTGTGTTTGCCTGTTCATTTGTGTGAGTGTGTGTTTTTTTTTTTTTGCATATGCCGCACATAATTGCAAGGAGGGTCGTTGCCGTCTGTGTGTGTTTGCGTCGTCTGGCTGCGCTTGTGTGCGTGTCTGCGTTTTGCCAGTACAACAAGAATTGTATTGCGACAGACACAGAGTTGCTCTTTTTGCTTATGGTGAGAACTCTGCCGCTGGCTATGTGGTTGTGGTGCTGCTATGCTATGAACAGGGTTGTTTAACTGGCTACATTGCAAAGTATGCACATATAATTGGCATTTGGCAAACACAAAGCAGCCAAAGCAAAATAGTTGCCCAAATGCTTTTGTTTGAATTTCTGTGCGTGTGTATGAGTGTAAGTGCGAGTGTAAGTTAGTGCGTCTGCCAGCCGCCACAATTTACAATCGCTGGACAACACTGGTTGCTGGTGAATTCAAGTCGATGTGGTGAATTTCGTCTTTGTTGAGAAAAAATGTCGACGCGAAAAGTATTTTAATCATTAGTCAGAAAAGCCAGTGTATGCAAATTCTGGATTTTGGCAAATATCAAATCAAATAAGAAACGCGATAAGGTGCAAGACCGGATACACAGTGGCAAAAGCAAGGCACAAATTATGTAAATGCAATCAACTGCAATTTATGCACAATTTCGGTTTGCCAGACTGCGACACGGTGGCGTTCCTGTCGACCACAAAGTGAAACTGCAGTGGGGAAAGTCGCACGCAGCAGCCCCGCACAACACACGCATACACAGACACACACTCACACACACAGCGACAATAAGAGCAATAACAAGAAGAAGAAGAGGAAAGTATGGACAATTGCGATCAGGACGCGGGCTTTCGATTGGGTCCCATCAAGGAGGAGGTCAAGCCTGACATATCGCAGCTGAATGACAGCAACAACAGCAGCTTCTCGCCCAAGGCCGAGAGTCCAGTGCCCTTTCTGCAGGCCATGAACATGGTCAACGTGCTGCCGGCCAGCAACAACAATAACAATCAGAATCAATTGGCGCCGGCCGCCCAGCAACAACAACAACAACAATATCCGCCAAATCATCCGCTTAGCGGATCTAAGCATTTGTGCTCCATTTGCGGAGATCGGGCCAGTGGCAAGCACTATGGCGTCTACAGCTGCGAGGGCTGCAAGGGCTTCTTCAAGCGCACAGTGCGCAAGGATCTCACATATGCTTGCCGCGAGAATCGCAACTGCATCATTGATAAGCGACAGCGCAATCGTTGCCAATATTGCCGCTATCAGAAGTGCCTCTCGTGCGGCATGAAGCGCGAGGCCGTCCAGGAGGAGCGACAGCGCGGCGCACGCACCTCCACGGGCCGCTTGGGCGCAGCTGGCGGCGGCGGCGGCGGCAATGCTGCTGGCGGTGGCCTGGCTGCCGGCGGCGGTGGCATTGGCATTGGCAGCTCCGGCGGCGTCGGCGGCACAAATAGCGCCTCCGATGATTTCATGACGAACAGCGTGTCCCGCGACTTTACCATTGAGCGTCTACTGGATGCGGAACAGCGTGCGGAGGCGCATAGCGGCGATCGGGCGTTAACGTTCCTGCGCGTCGGACCCAACTCAACGGTGCAGCCGGACTACAAGGGCGCCGTCTCGGCGCTCTGCCAGGTGGTGAACAAACAGCTGTATCAGATGGTCGAATATGCGCGCCTGATGCCGCACTTTGCCCAGCTGCCGCTGGACGATCAGGTGATACTTCTAAAGGCTGCCTGGAACGAGCTGCTGATTGCGAATGTGGCCTGGTGCAGCATCGAATCGCTGGACGATGCGCTCGCTGGGATCGGGCATGATAGCGCCTTCGAGCGGCGATCGCCGGTGCTGCAGCCGCAGCAGCTGTTCCTCAACCAGAGTTTCTCGTATCATCGGAACAGCGCAATCAAGGCGGGCGTGCACGCCATCTTTGATCGGATACTGTCCGAGCTGAGCGTCAAGATGAAGCGCTTGAATTTGGACAGACGCGAGCTGTCCTGCCTGAAGGCGATCATATTGTATAATCCGGATATACGCGGCATCAAGAATCGCGCCGATATCGAGCTGTGCCGTGAGAAGGTCTACGCCTGCCTCGACGAGCACTGCCGCCTGGAACATCCCGGCGACGATGGACGATTCGCCCAGCTGTTGCTCCGTTTGCCCGCATTGCGTTCGATCAGTCTCAAGTGCTTGGATCATCTCTTCTTCTTTCGCATCATCAGCGATCGGCCGCTGGATGAGCTGTTTATTGAACAGCTGGAGTCGCAGCCGCCGCCGGGCCTGATGCTGAATTCAGAGTGAATTTCGATAAGTTATCGGAAACTGTTGCCTGTTATCGATAGAACGAATCGATTGCCGTTTATCGTTGATCGATTGATCGATTGATTGTTTCATTGTGATTGAGTTTGTTTGCATTTCTCTGCCAACCCCCCGCTGCACCCGCTCCACACACCCCTTCACACACACCAAGGTCTTTGATAATTTTTAAATTGATAAATACCATAATTTTTTTTTTTTTTTATGTAATTATATATATATATATATATATATATATAAATATATAATTTTTTTTGCAAACTAGAAAATGTTTTCCTTAAGATTGAGAACCGTTTATTGTTGTGTAAACGAAAAAACAAAACACAAAATAAAACATGACATATATATATATATATACATATATATCTATACATATACATAAACAAATTGTAATTATTTCTTAAAATAATTGTACCCACAAGTTATAAAATACATGCGAATTATAATTATATACACACGTGTACACAGATCTATGTATAATCATATACAGATATATATATATATATATATAGATATATATTATATATGCAACATGTGTGTGAGCAAGTGTTTTCCTTTACCTTGGAATTTGTCGCTGTCCAGAATGCCCAGAAATGAATGGAAGTGCAGCGAATAGTCGTGTACAGTGAACACTCGTTAGCTGCAACCGATTGACTGCAAACTTTTTGCTCTTGATATGTCCTTGAATCGTTTCCATATTGAAAAGAAATTTACAATTTGTTTCATTTTGTTTTTAAATATTTATTGAAGAACTGGAAAATTCCTACTTAAGCGATATATTGTTCATATATATATATATATATATATATATCTCGATATATAAATCTTGACTATTCTTAAATTGCTTTGCCAAACAATTGTTTGAATACTTTTCTATTTTTGGTTTCAAATTCGAATTGTAAACTATTAATTTTTTTCAATTTAATTCTGTTTTGATTAGTTTAAAATTGGTACATTTTGAAATTTCTGTCGTCGTCAATTGAGCGTTCACTGTACACGTTAGTTTGCTTTTTGATTCTGAATATAATTGTAATTTAAGGAATATAACGTGCAATTCCAATTGGAATACATTCACTCCAGACGGAGTATAGCGAGTGCCTATTGGAGCATCTCAACATCTACTCGAACTAACAACTGCCAATTGGAAAATGTTCATGGTCGTGCTATGTGCTAATTGGAAACCAATTCGTTTTACAATACTAGAGTGTAGCCAAACCAATTGGAAAAAAGGCACATTTTGTTAATCAAATAAATGTACAAAATATGTAATTGGGAGAAATTGACAGAGCTTCTTCTGCTTCTTCTTCTGCTGCTGCTGCTGCTGCTTCAGCTGGTGGTTTTTGGCCTTCTTGTCAAAAGTGTGTCTGTCTGCCCGTCCGTCTATTTGTCTATCTGTCAGTGTGTGGATCTGTGGATCTGTGGCGGGCATTTCTTTCAATTTTTTTATTAAATTAATGTATGTTTTGCGTTTAAATACATATTTTCAGAAATATGGTATTAACGCACAGAACTAAGTCTAAAAATAAATATTGTTTTCGAAAAAAGAACAACAAAAATGAAAAATGAAAAATGAAAAAAAAAAAAACAACAAAAAGAAATTTCGCCGCTGACGACGCACATTATGGGCCAAAAATAAACTTCTTATTGGGCCGAGAGCGATCAGATGGGTGGGAGCATTGCGACTACGTAATATTCTGTCCCTGGTGTTGCCCCTGGCGCTGCTGCTGCTTCTTCTTCTTCTTCTTCTTCTTTGGGCATCCAGCGTGTCTGTCTGGAGGTGGAATGCGGCATTTCGAGAGAGCGAGCGAGCTTTTGCTGAGAGCGCTTGGCCTGCGAATCCTTGTGAGAGTTGGACTCTAAGCAAAAGCTCACCAATACACAAGCAAAAGCGACGCGCGCGCGCGTGTGTGTGTGTGTTTAGGTTGTATTTGTATTTAAATTTACGCTAGCGCTATAAAATATTTAATAAAACTCATAAATAATCTGTCTATATGCAGAAATGTATACATGTGTGTGTGTTTATATAAATATGTACATATATATTTATATACACATGTTCATGGCAGTTTTGCACGGA